GCCTTACAGGTGCGAAGTATGTGGAGCCACCTTAAAGCGGTTATCAACTCTACAGGTTATATTCAATTGTTCTTCCACGGGCGCAAGAATGAGGTATTGTCCCAACTATGCGCTTAGAGCGCTTTGAAAAGGAACAACAGCAGTACGATTTTTCACAATTGTTTCCTTCAACAGCGGTACTCAGAATAGCGATCAGCAGAAAGAACTTTGGACAGAAGTTAAATCAGGTTACTCTGATGATGCTGATATGCGTTGGAGTCCAGAACAAATCAGATAGTTGCACATCGACCTCCGTTCAAGTGTGATGTATGCAGCAAATACTTCTCTCATTCAAGCGATCTGCTAGTACAGAAACGTATTCCCACCGGGGAGAAGCCTTTCGCGTGGAAAGCTTGTAAATCAACGTTCAGGACATCAAATTATACGTAAGCATGAACGCATTCGCTGTGGGGAGAGGCCTTACAAGAGCGAGGTATGTGGAGCTTCCTTCAAGCTGTTATCAACGTACAGATTATATCCAATGGTTTTTCCACGTTCGCAATCATGAGGTATTGTCCCAACTATGCGCGGAGAGTCCTTTGAAAAAGAAGAATATACCGCCTAACTCGATTGAAAGATGCCATGCTTGTAGAGGTGGCAGATTGCAGGATGGAAAAAGAAGGGAATTGGAGAAGATGAGCAAGGGTGCTCATCTGCCCTTGCTCACTTTTCCGAATTTTCACAGCCCTTTTCCTCAACCGATTCGACTTCAGCAGACAGGTGTCACAGCGGTTCGTAGTGCCAAGGACCTGGAAAAGTGGATGTAACTGATTATGAACAATAATTATCATGTTTTATTACACGACCGTCCATGGTAACAATCAAGTATGCCCGGTGCCAGATTGCAGGATGGGAAAAAAGGGATTGGAGACGATGAGCAAGGGTGCTCATCTGCCCATGCTCATTTTTTTCCAATTTTTCACAGCCCTTTTCCTAAACCGATTCGACTACAGCAGACAGGTGTCACAGCGTTTCGTAATGCCAAGGACCTGGAACGGGTGATGTACCTGATTATGAACAATATTCAAGAATTAGGACAAAGGCATTGATAACAAGGCTCTGTTTGACACATTTAATGTTTTTGGAGTAATTATGTCATGCAAGGTAGCTACTGACGATACGGGCCAGTCCAAGGGATACTGCTTTGTCATTTTAAGACTGATGAAGCTGCCCAACAAGCTATTGACAAAGTCAATGGGATGCTGCTGAATGACCGCAAGGTGTTTGGCAAAGGTGACCTGTCCCAAGCTTCTTTCATCTTCCATGTTATTTAAGTTTGTAAAGCAACGTTCAGGACAACATCAAATCTGCGTAAGCATGAACATATTCACACTGGGGAGAGGCCTTACGGGTGCGAAGTATGTGGAGCCACCTAAAAGCGGTTATCAACTCTACAGGTTATATTCAAGTGTTCTTCCACGGGCGCAAGAATGAGGTATTGTCCCAACTATGCGCTTAGAGCGCTTTAAAAAGGAACAACAGCAGTACGATTTTTCACAATTGTTTCCTTCCGCAGCGGTACTCAGAATAGCGATCAGCAGAAAGAACTTTGGACAGAAGTTATATCAGGTTACTCTAATGATGCTGATATGCGTTGGAGTCCAGAACAAATCAGAGAGTTGCACATCGACCTCCGTTCAAGTGTGATGTATGCAGCAAATACTTCTCTCATTCAAGCGATCTGCTAGTACACAAACGTATTCACACCGGGGAGAAGCCTTTCGCGTGCACGGTTTGTAAAGCATTGTTCAGGACATCATCAAACCTTCGCAAGTATGAACGTATTCACAATGGGGAGAAGCCTTACAAGTGCAAGGTATGTGGAGCCTCCTTCAAGCGGTTATCAACTCTACAGGTTTTATCCAAAGGTTCTTCCACGTGCGCAAGCGTGCGCAAGCATGAGGTATTTTCCCAACTATGCGCTTAGAGTCCATTGAAAAGGAACAAAAGACATAATTTTGTTTACATTTGTTTTGTTCCACTGCGATACTGAGATTAGCGATCAACAGAAGGAATTTTGGACAAGACTGATAGCTTTCAAGTGCTCTGGTCTGTGTGATCTCGATTTGGTAACATCTTCATCAAGAATTAGGACAAGGGCATTGATAACAAGGCTCTGTTTGACACATTTAATGTTTTTGGAGTAATTATGTCATGCAAGGTAGCTACTGACGATACGGGCCAGTCCAAGGGATACTGCTTTGTCATTTTAAGACTGATGAAGCTGCCCAACAAGCTATTGACAAAGTCAATGGGATGCTGCTGAATGACCGCAAGGTGTTTGGCAAAGGTGACCTGTCCCAAGCTTCTTTCATCTTCCATGTTATTTAAGTTTGTAAAGCAACGTTCAGGACAACATGAAATCTGCGTAAGCATGAACATATTCACACTGGGGAGAGGCCTTACAGGTGCGAAGTATGTTGAGCCACCTTAAAGCGGTTATCAACTCGACAGGTTATATTCAATTGTTCTTCCACGGGAGCAAGAATGAGGTATTGTCCCAACTATGCGCTTAGAGCGCTTTAAAAAGGAACAACAGCAGTACGATTATTCACATTTGTTTCCTTCCGCAGCGGTACTCAGAATAGCGATCAGCAGAAAGAACTTTGGACAGAAGTTATATCAGGTTACTCTGATGATGCTGATATGCGTTGGAGTCCAGAACAAATCAGAGAGTTGCACATCGACCTCCGTTCAAGTGTGATGTATGCAGCAAATACTTCTCTCATTCAAGCGATCTGCTAGTACACAAACGTATTCACACCGGGGAGAAGCCTTCCGCGTGCACGGTTTGTAAAGCAACGTTCAGGACATCATCAAACCTTCGCAAGCATGAACGTATTCACAATGGGGAGAAGCCTTACAAGTGCAAGGTATGTGGAGCCTCCTTCAAGCGGTTATCAACTCTACAGGTTTTATCCAACGGTTCTTCCACGTGCGCAAGCGTGCGCAAGCATGAGGTATTTTCCCAACTATGCGTTTAGAGTCCATTGAAAAGGAACAAAAGACATAATTTTGTTTACATTTGTTTTGTTCCACTGCGGTACTCAGATTAGCGATCAGCAGAAGGAATTTTGGACAAGAGTGATAGCTTTCAAGTGCTCTGGTCTGTGTGATCTCGATTTGGTAACATTTTCATCAAGAATTAGGACAAGGGCATTGATAACAAGGCTCTGTTTGACACATTTAATGTTTTTGGAGTAATTATGTCATGCAAGGTAGCTACTGACGTTAAGGGCCAGTCCAAGGGATACTGCTTTGTCATTTTAAGACTGATGAAGCTGCCCAACAAGCTATTGACAAAGTCAATGGGATGCTGCTGAATGACCGCAAGGTGTTTGGCAAAGGTGACCTGTCCCAAGCTTCTTTCATCTTCCATGTTATTTAAGTTTCTAAAGCAACGTTCAGGACAACATCAAATCTGCGTAAGCATGAACATATTCACACTGGGGAGAGGCCTTACAGGTGCGAAGTATGTGGAGCCACCTTAAAGCGGTTATCAACTCTACAGGTTATATTCAATTGTTCTTCCACGGGCGCAAGAATGAGGTATTGTCCCAACTATGCGCTTAGAGCGCTTTGAAAAGGAACAACAGTAGTACGATTTTTCACAATTGTTTCCTTCAACAGCGGTACTCAGAATAGCGATCAGCAGAAAGAACTTTGGACAGAAGTTATATCAGGTTACTCTAATGATGCTGATATGCGTTGGAGTCCAGAACAAATCAGAGAGTTGCACATCGACCTCCGTTCAAGTGTGATGTATGCAGCAAATACTTCTCTCATTCAAGCGATCTGCTAGTACACAAACGTATTCACACCGGGGAGAAGCCTTCCGCGTGCACGGTTTGTAAAGCAACGTTCAGGACATCATCAAACCTTCGCAAGCATGAACGTATTCACAATGGGGAGAAGCCTTACAAGTGCAAGGTATGTGGAGCCTCCTTCAAGCGGTTATCAACTCTACAGGTTTTATCCAACGGTTCTTCCACGTGCGCAAGCGTGCGCAAGCATGAGGTATTTTCCCAACTATGCGTTTAGAGTCCATTGAAAAGGAACAAAAGACATAATTTTGTTTACATTTGTTTTGTTCCACTGCGGTACTCAGATTAGCGATCAGCAGAAGGAATTTTGGACAAGAGTGATAGCTTTCAAGTGCTCTGGTCTGTGTGATCTCGATTTGGTAACATTTTCATCAAGAATTAGGACAAGGGCATTGATAACAAGGCTCTGTTTGACACATTTAATGTTTTTGGAGTAATTATGTCATGCAAGGTAGCTACTGACGTTAAGGGCCAGTCCAAGGGATACTGCTTTGTCATTTTAAGACTGATGAAGCTGCCCAACAAGCTATTGACAAAGTCAATGGGATGCTGCTGAATGACCGCAAGGTGTTTGGCAAAGGTGACCTGTCCCAAGCTTCTTTCATCTTCCATGTTGATTAAGTTTCTAAAGCAACGTTCAGGACAACATCAAATCTGCGTAAGCATGAACATATTCACACTGGGGAGAGGCCTTACAGGTGCGAAGTATGTGGAGCCACCTTAAAGCGGTTATCAACTCGACAGGTTATATTCAATTGTTCTTCCACGGGAGCAAGAATGAGGTATTGTCCCAACTATGCGCTTAGAGCGCTTTAAAAAGGAACAACAGCAGTACGATTATTCACATTTGTTTCCTTCCGCAGCGGTACTCAGAATAGCGATCAGCAGAAAGAACTTTGGACAGAAGTTATATCAGGTTACTCTGATGATGCTGATATGCGTTGGAGTCCAGAACAAATCAGAGAGTTGCACATCGACCTCCGTTCAAGTGTGATGTATGCAGCAAATACTTCTCTCATTCAAGCGATCTGCTAGTACACAAACGTATTCACACCGGGGAGAAGCCTTCCGCGTGCACGGTTTGTAAAGCAACGTTCAGGACATCATCAAACCTTCGCAAGCATGAACGTATTCACAATGGGGAGAAGCCTTACAAGTGCAAGGTATGTGGAGCCTCCTTCAAGCGGTTATCAACTCTACAGGTTTTATCCAACGGTTCTTCCACGTGCGCAAGCGTGCGCAAGCATGAGGTATTTTCCCAACTATGCGTTTAGAGTCCATTGAAAAGGAACAAAAGACATAATTTTGTTTACATTTGTTTTGTTCCACTGCGGTACTCAGATTAGCGATCAGCAGAAGGAATTTTGGACAAGAGTGATAGCTTTCAAGTGCTCTGGTCTGTGTGATCTCGATTTGGTAACATTTTCATCAAGAATTAGGACAAGGGCATTGATAACAAGGCTCTGTTTGACACATTTAATGTTTTTGGAGTAATTATGTCATGCAAGGTAGCTACTGACGTTAAGGGCCAGTCCAAGGGATACTGCTTTGTCATTTTAAGACTGATGAAGCTGCCCAACAAGCTTTTGACAAAGTCAATGGGATGCTGCTGAATGACCGCAAGGTGTTTGGCAAAGGTGACCTGTCCCAAGCTTCTTTCATCTTCCATGTTATTTAAGTTTGTAAAGCAACGTTCAGGACAACATCAAATCTGCGTAAGCATGAACATATTCACACTGGGGAGAGGCCTTACAGGTGCGAAGTATGTGGAGCCACCTTAAAGCGGTTATCAACTCTACAGGTTATATTCAATTGTTCTTCCACGGGCGCAAGAATGAGGTATTGTCCCAACTATGCGCTTAGAGCGCTTTGAAAAGGAAAAACAGTAGTACGATTTTTCACAATTGTTTCCTTCAACAGCGGTACTCAGAATAGCGATCAGCAGAAAGAACTTTGGACAGAAGTTATATCAGGTTACTCTAATGATGCTGATATGCGTTGGAGTCCAGAACAAATCAGAGAGTTGCACATCGACCTCCGTTCAAGTGTGATGTATGCAGCAAATACTTCTCTCATTCAAGCGATCTGCTAGTACACAAACGTATTCACACCGGGGAGAAGCCTTTCGCGTGCACGGTTTGTAAAGCATCGTTCAGGACATCATCAAACCTTCGCAAGTATGAACGTATTCACAATGGGGAGAAGCCTTACAAGTGCAAGGTATGTGGAGCCTCCTTCAAGCGGTTATCAACTCTACAGGTTTTATCCAACGGTTCTTCCACGTGCGCAAGCGTGCGCAAGCATGAGGTATTTTCCCAACTATGCGCTTAGAGTCCATTGAAAAGGAACAAAAGACATAATTTTGTTTACATTTGTTTTGTTCCACTGCGATACTCAGATTAGCGATCAGCAGAAGGAATTTTGGACAAGACTGATAGCTTTCAAGTGCTCTGGTCTGTGTGATCTCGATTTGGTAACATCTTCATCAAGAATTAGGACAAGGGCATTGATAACAAGGCTCTGTTTGACACATTTAATGTTTTTGGAGTAATTATGTCATGCAAGGTAGCTACTGACGATACGGGCCAGTCCAAGGGATACTGCTTTGTCATTTTAAGACTGATGAAGCTGCCCAACAAGCTATTGACAAAGTCAATGGGGTGCTGCTGAATGACCGCAAGGTGTTTGGCAAAGGTGACCTGTCCCAAGCTTCTTTCATCTTCCATGTTATTTATGTTTGTAAAGCAACGTTCAGGACAACATGAAATCTGCGTAAGCATGAACATATTCACACTGGGGAGAGGCCTTACACGTGCGAAGTATGTTGAGCCACCTTAAAGCGGTTATCAACTCGACAGGTTATATTCAATTGTTCTTCCACGGGAGCAAGAATGAGGTATTGTCCCAACTATGCGCTTAGAGCGCTTTAAAAAGGAACAACAGCAGTACGATTATTCACATTTGTTTCCTTCCGCAGCGGTACTCAGAATAGCGATCAGCAGAAAGAACTTTGGACAGAAGTTATATCAGGTTACTCTGATGATGCTGATATGCGTTGGAGTCCAGAACAAATCAGAGAGTTGCACATCGACCTCCGTTCAAGTGTGATGTATGCAGCAAATACTTCTCTCATTCAAGCGATCTGCTAGTACACAAACGTATTCACACCGGGGAGAAGCCTTTCGCGTGCACGGTTTGTAAAGCATCGTTCAGGACATCATCAAACCTTCGCAAGTATGAACGTATTCACAATGGGGAGAAGCCTTACAAGTGCAAGGTATGTGGAGCCTCCTTCAAGCGGTTATCAACTCTACAGGTTTTATCCAACGGTTCTTCCACGTGCGCAAGCGTGCGCAAGCATGAGGTATTTTCCCAACTATGCGCTTAGAGTCCATTGAAAAGGAACAAAAGACATAATTTTGTTTACATTTGTTTTGTTCCACTGCGATACTCAGATTAGCGATCAGCAGAAGGAATTTTGGACAAGACTGATAGCTTTCAAGTGCTCTGGTCTGTGTGATCTCGATTTGGTAACATCTTCATCAAGAATTAGGACAAGGGCATTGATAACAAGGCTCTGTTTGACACATTTAATGTTTTTGGAGTAATTATGTCATGCAAGGTAGCTACTGACGATACGGGCCAGTCCAAGGGATACTGCTTTGTCATTTTAAGACTGATGAAGCTGCCCAACAAGCTATTGACAAAGTCAATGGGGTGCTGCTGAATGACCGCAAGGTGTTTGGCAAAGGTGACCTGTCCCAAGCTTCTTTCATCTTCCATGTTATTTAAGTTTGTAAAGCAACGTTCAGGACAACATGAAATCTGCGTAAGCATGAACATATTCACACTGGGGAGAGGCCTTACACGTGCGAAGTATGTTGAGCCACCTTAAAGCGGTTATCAACTCGACAGGTTATATTCAATTGTTCTTCCACGGGAGCAAGAATGAGGTATTGTCCCAACTATGCGCTTAGAGCGCTTTAAAAAGGAACAACAGCAGTACGATTATTCACATTTGTTTCCTTCCGCAGCGGTACTCAGAATAGCGATCAGCAGAAAGAACTTTGGACAGAAGTTATATCAGGTTACTCTGATGATGCTGATATGCGTTGGAGTCCAGAACAAATCAGAGAGTTGCACATCGACCTCCGTTCAAGTGTGATGTATGCAGCAAATACTTCTCTCATTCAAGCGATCTGCTAGTACACAAACGTATTCACACCGGGGAGAAGCCTTCCGCGTGCACGGTTTGTAAAGCAACGTTCAGGACATCATCAAACCTTCGCAAGCATGAACGTATTCACAATGGGGAGAAGCCTTACAAGGGCAAGGTATGTGGAGCCTCCTTCAAGCGGTTATCAACTCTACAGGTTTTATCCAACGGTTCTTCCACGTGCGCAAGCGTGCGCAAGCATGAGGTATTTTCCCAACTATGCGTTTAGAGTCCATTGAAAAGGAACAAAAGACATAATTTTGTTTACATTTGTTTTGTTCCACTGCGGTACTCAGATTAGCGATCAGCAGAAGGAATTTTGGACAAGAGTGATAGCTTTCAAGTGCTCTGGTCTGTGTGATCTCGATTTGGTAACATCTTCATCAAGAATTAGGACAAGGGCATTGATAACAAGGCTCTGTTTGACACATTTAATGTTTTTGGAGTAATTATGTCATGCAAGGTAGCTACTGACGTTAAGGGCCAGTCCAAGGGATACTGCTTTGTCATTTTAAGACTGATGAAGCTGCCCAACAAGCTATTGACAAAGTCAATGGGATGCTGCTGAATGACCGCAAGGTGTTTGGCAAAGGTGACCTGTCCCAAGCTTCTTTCATCTTCCATGTTATTTAAGTTTCTAAAGCACCGTTCAGGACAACATCAAATCTGCGTAAGCATGAACATATTCACACTGGGGAGAGGCCTTACAGGTGCGAAGTATGTGGAGCCACCTTAAAGCGGTTATCAACTCTACAGGTTATATTCAATTGTTCTTCCACGGGCGCAAGAATGAGGTATTGTCCCAACTATGCGCTTAGAGCGCTTTGAAAAGGAACAACAGTAGTACGATTTTTCACAATTGTTTCCTTCAACAGCGGTACTCAGAATAGCGATCAGCAGAAAGAACTTTGGACAGAAGTTATATCAGGTTACTCTAATGATGCTGATATGCGTTGGAGTCCAGAACAAATCAGAGAGTTGCACATCGACCTCCGTTCAAGTGTGATGTATTCAGCAAATACTTCTCTCATTCAAGCGATCTGCTAGTATAGAAACGTATTCACACCGGGGAGAAGCCTTTCGCGTGGAAAGTTTGTAAATCAACGTTCAGGACATCAAATTATACGTAAGCATGAACGCATTCGCTGTGGGGAGAGGCCTTACAAGAGCGAGGTATGTGGAGCTTCCTTCAAGCGGTTATCAACGTACAGGTTATATCCAATGGTTTTTCCACGTTCGCAATCATGAGGTATTGTCCCAACTATGCGCGGAGAGTCCTTTGAAAAGGAAGAATATACCGCTGAACTCGACTGATAGATGCCATGCTTGTAGAGGTGGCAGATTGCAGGATGGGAAAAGAAGGGAATTGGAGAAGATGAGCAAGGGTGCTCATCTGCCCTTGCTCACTCTTCCGAATTTTCACAGCCCTTTTCCTCACGATTCGACTACAGCAGACAGGTGTCACAGCGGTTCGTAGTGCCAAGGACCTGAAAAGGTGGATGTACCTGATTATGAACAATAATTATCATGTTTTATTACACGACCGTCCACGGCAACAATCAAGTATGCCCGGTGCCAGATTGCAGGATGGGAAAAAAGGGATTGGAGACGATGAGCCAGGGTGCTCATCTGCCCATGCTCATTTTTCTCCAATTTTTCACAGCACTTTTCCTAAACCGATTCGACTACAGCAGACAGGTGTCACAGCGTTTCGTGATGCCAAGGACCCGGAACGGGTGATGTACCTGATTATGAACAATATTCAGCTGGTGTTTCCCTGTGTTGGATGGTGAGGTTAGTACATGTACTAGTGTTAGTAGTCATCCCTATAGGCCTAGCAAAGTCTCACAAATCTGCGTAAGCATGAACGTATTCACACTGGGGAGAGGCCCTACAAGTGCAAGGTATGTGGATCCTCCTCAAAGCGGTTATCAACTCTACAGGTTATATCCAACGGTTCTTTCACGTGCGCAAGAATGAGGTATTGTCCCAACTATGCGCTTAGAGTCCTTTGAAAAGGAACAAAAGCTATACTTTTGTTTACATATAATTATTTCCTTCAACAGCGGTACTCAGAATAGCGATCAGCAGAAAGAACTTTGGACAGAGGTTATATCAGGTTACTCTAATGATGCTGACATGCGTTGGAGTCCAGAACAAATCAGAGAGTTTCACATCGACCTCCACGGAGACGCACCTATCGCACCTTATACATGCAGTAGTTAACAGAACCAAGATACACATAGTCGTTCTGGAGAGATTGTGAAGCAGATCGCTTGAATGCGAGAAGTATTTGCTGCATACATCACACTTGAACGGAGGTCGATGTGCAACTCTCTGATTTGTTCAGGACAACATCAAATCTGCGTAAGCAAGAACATATTCACATTGGGGAGAGGCCTTACAGGTGCGAAGTATGTGGAGCCACCTTAAAGCGGTTATCAACTCTACAGGTTATATTCAATTGTTCTTCCACGGGCGCAAGAATGAGGTATTGTCCCAACTATGCGCTTAGAGCGCTTTAAAAAGGAACAACAGCAGTACGATTTTTCACAATTGTTTCCTTCAACAGCGGTACTCAGAATAGCGATCAGCAGAAAGAACTTTGGACAGAAGTTATATCAGGTTACTCTAATGATGCTGATATGCGTTGGAGTCCGGAAGAAATCAGAGAGTTGCACATCGACCTCCGTTCAAGTGTGATGTATGCAGCAAATACTTCTCTCATTCAAGCGATCTGCTAGTACAGAAACGTATTCACACCGGGGAGAAGCCTTTCGCCAGGAAAGTTTGTAAATCAACGTTCAGGACATCAAATTATACGTAAGCATGAACGCATTCGCTGTGGGGAGAGGCCTTACAAGAGCGAGGTATGTGGAGCTTCCTTCAAGCGGTTACCAACGTACAGGTTATATCCAATGGTTTTTCCACGTTCGCAATCATGAGGTATTGTCCCAACTATGCGCGGAGAGTCCTTTGAAAAGGAACAAAAGATATAATTTTGTTTACATTTGTTTTGTTCCACTGCGGTACTCAGATTAGCGATCAGCAGAAGGAATTTTGGACAAGAGTGATAGCTTTCAAGTGCTCCGGTCTGTGTGATCTCGATTTGGTAACATCTTCATCAAGAATTAGGACAAGGGCTTTGATAACAAGGCTCTGTTTGACACATTTAATGTTTTTGGAGTAATTATGTCATGCAAGGTAGCTACTGACGATAAGGGCCAGTCCAAGGGATACTGCTTTGTCATTTTAAGACTGATGAAGCTGCCCAACAAGCTATTGACAAAGTCAATGGGATGCTGCTGAATGACCGCAAGGTGTTTGGCAAAGGTGACCTGTCCCAAGCTTCTTTCATCTTTCATGTTATTTAAGTTTGTAAAGCAACGTTCAGGACAACATCAAATCTGCGTAAGAATGAACATATTCACATTGGGGAGAGGCCTTACAGGTGCGAAGTATGTGGAGCCACCTTAAAGCGGTTATCAACTCTACAGGTTATATTCAATGGTTCTTCCACGGGCGCAAGAATGAGGTATTGTCCCAACTATGCGCTTAGAGCGCTTTGAAAAGGAACAACAGCAGTACGATTTTTCACAATTGTTTCCTTCAACAGCGGTACTCAGAATAGCGATCAGCAGAAAGAACTTTGGACAGAAGTTATATCAGGTTACTCTGATGATGCTGATATGCGTTGGAGTCCAGAACAAATGAGAGAGTTGCACATCGAACTCCGTTCAAGTGTGATGTATGGAGCAAATACTTCTCTCATTCAAGCGATCTGCTAGTACAGAAACGGATTCACACCGGGGAGAAGCCTTTCGCGTGGAAAGTTTGTAAATCAACGTTCAGGACATCAAATTATACGTAAGCATGAACGCATTCGCTGTGGGGAGAGGCCTTACAAGAGCGAGGTATGTGGAGCTTCCTTCAAGCGGTTATCAACGTACAGGTTATATCCAATGGTTTTTCCACGTTCGCAATCATGAGGTATTGTCCCAACTAGGCGCGGAGAGTCCTTTGAAAAGGAAGAATATACCGCTGAACTCGACTGATAGATGCCATGCTTGTAAAGGTGGCAGATTGCAGGATAGGAAAAGAAGGGAATTGGAGAAGATGAGCAAGGGTGCTCATCTGCCCTTGCTCACTTTTCCGAATTTTCACAGCCCTTTTCCTCAACCGATTCGACTTCAGCAGACAGGTGTCACAGCGGTTCGTAGTGCCAAGGACCTGGAAAGGTGGATGTAACTGATTATGAACAATAATTATCATGTTTTATTACACGACCGTCCACGGTAACAATCAAGTATGCCCGGTGCCAGATTGCAGGATGGGAAAAAAGGGATTGGAGACGATGAGCAAGGGTGCTCATCTGCCCATGCTCATTTTTTTCCAACTTTTCACAGCCCTTTTCCTAAACCGATTCGACTACAGCAGACAGGTGTCACAGCGTTTCGTAATGCCAAGGACCTGGAACGGGTGATGTACCTGATTATGAACAATATTCAAGAATTAGGACAAAGGCATTGATAACAAGGCTCTGTTTGACACATTTAATGTTTTTGGAGTAATTATGTCATGCAAGGTAGCTACTGACGATACGGGCCAGTCCAAGGGATACTGCTTTGTCATTTTAAGACTGATGAAGCTGCCCAACAAGCTATTGACAAAGTCAATGGGATGCTGCTGAATGACCGCAAGGTGTTTGGCAAAGGTGACCTGTCCCAAGCTTCTTTCATCTTCCATGTTATTTAAGTTTGTAAAGCAACGTTCAGGACAACATCAAATCTGCGTAAGCATGAACATATTCACACTGGGGAGAGGCCTTACAGGTGCGAAGTATGTGGAGCCACCTTAAAGCGGTTATCAACTCTACAGGTTATATTCAATTGTTCTTCCACGGGCGCAAGAATGAGGTATTGTCCCAACTATGCGCTTAGAGCGCTTTAAAAAGGAACAACAGCAGTACGATTTTTCACAATTGTTTCCTTCCGCAGCGGTACTCAGAATAGCGATCAGCAGAAAGAACTTTGGACAGAAGTTATATCAGGTTACTCTGATGATGCTGATATGCGTTGGAGTCCAGAACAAATCAGAGAGTTGCACATCGACCTCCGTTCAAGTGTGATGTATGCAGCAAATACTTCTCTCATTCAAGCGATCTGCTAGTACACAAACGAATTCACACCGGGGAGAAGCCTTTCGCGTGCACGGTTTGTAAAGCATCGTTCAGGACATCATCAAACCTTCGCAAGTATGAACATATTCACAGTGGGGAGAAGCCTTACAAGTGCAAGGTATGTGGAGCCTCCTTCAAGCGGTTATCAACTCTACAGGTTTTATCCAACGGTTCTTCCACGTGCGCAAGCGTGCGCAAGCATGAGGTATTTTCCCAACTATGCCCTTAGAGTCCATTGAAAAGGAACAAAAGACATAATTTTGTTTACATTTGTTTTGTTCCACTGCGGTACTCAGATTAGCGATCAGCAGAAGGAATTTTGGACAAGAGTGATAGCTTTCAAGTGCTCTGGTCTGTGTGATCTCGATTTGGTAACATCTTCATCAAGAATTAGGACAAGGGCATTGATAACAAGGCTCTGTTTGACACATTTAATGTTTTTGGAGTAATTATGTCATGCAAGGTAGCTACTGACGATACCCGGCCAGTCCAAGGGATACTGCTTTGTCATTTTAAGACTGATGAAGCTGCCCAACAAGCTATTGACAAAGTCAATGGGATGCTGCTGAATGACCGCAAGGTGTTTGGCAAAGGTGACCTGTCCCAAGCTTCTTTCATCTTCCATGTTATTTAAGTTTGTAAAGCAACGTTCAGGACAACATCAAATCTGCGTAAGCATGAACATATTCACACTGGGGAGAGGCCTTACAGGTGCGAAGTATGTGGAGCCACCTTAAAGCGGTTATCAACTCTACAGGTTATATTCAATTGTTCTTCCACGGGAGCAAGAATGAGGTATTGTCCCAACTATGCGCTTAGAGCGCTTTAAAAAGGAACAAGAGCAGTACGATTTTTCACAATTGTTTCCTTCCGCAGCGGTACTCAGAATAGCGATCAGCAGAAAGAACTTTGGACAGAAGTTATATCAGGTTACTCTGATGATGCTGATATGCGTTGGAGTCCAGAACAAATCAGAGAGTTGCACATCGACCTCCGTTCAAGTGTGATGTATGCAGCAAATACTTCTCTCATTCAAGCGATCTGCTAGTACACAAACGTATTCACACCAGGGAGAAGCCTTCTGCGTGCACGGGTTGTAAAGCAACGTTCAGGACATCATCAAACCTTCGCAAGCATGAACGTATTCACAATGGGGAGAAGCCTTACAAGTGCAAGGTATGTGGAGCCTCCTTCAAGCGGTTATCAACTCTACAGGTTTTATCCAACGGTTCTTCCACGTGCGCAAGCGTGCGCAAGCATGAGGTATTTTCCCAACTATGCGTTTAGAGTCCATTGAAAAGGAACAAAAGATATAATTTTGTTTACATTTGTTTTGTTCCACTGCGGTACTCAGATTAACGATCAGCAGAAGGAATTTTGGACAAGAGTGATAGCTTTCAAGTGCTCTGGTCTGTGTGATCTCGATTTGGTAACATCTTCATCAAGAATTAGGACAAGGGCATTGATAACAAGGCTCTGTTCGACACATTTAATGTTTTTGGAGTAATTATGTCATGCAAGGTAGCTACTGACGATAAGGGCCAGTCCAAGGGATACTGCTTTGTCATTTTAAGACTGATGAAGCTGCCCAACAAGCTATTGACAAAGTCAATGGGATGCTGCTGAATGACCGCAAGGTGTTTGGCAAAGGTGCCCTGTCCCAAGCTTCTTTCATCTTCCATGTTATTTAAGTTTGTAAAACAACGTTCAGGACAACATCAAATCTGCGTAAGCATGAACATATTCACACTGGGGAGAGGCCTTACAGGTGCGAAGTATGTGGAGCCACCTTAAAGCGGTTATCAACTCTACAGGTTATATTCAATTGTTCTTCCACGGGCGCAAGAATGAGGTATTGTCACAACTATGCGCTTAGAGCGCTTTAAAAAGGAACAAGAGCAGTACGATTTTTCACAATTGTTTCCTTCCGCAGCGGTACTCAGAATAGCGATCAGCAGAAAGAACTTTGGACAGAAGTTATATCAGGTTACTCTGATGATGCTGATATGCGTTGGAGTCCAGAACAAATCAGAGAGTTGCACATCGACCTCCGTTCAAGTGTGATGTATGCAGCAAATACTTCTCTCATTCAAGCGATCTGCTAGTACAGAAACGTATTCCCACCGGGGAGAAGCCTTTCGCGTGGAAAGCTTGTAAATCAACGTTCAGGACATCAAATTATACGTCAGCATGAACGCATTCGCTGTGGGGTGAGGCCTTACAAGAGCGAGGTATGTGGAGCTTCCTTCAAGCTGTTATCAACGTACAGGTTATATCCAATGGTTTTTCCACGTTCGCAATCATGAGGTATTGTCCCAACTATGCGCGGAGAGTCCTTTGAAAAAGAATAATATACCGCCTAACTCGATTGAAAGATGCCATGCTTGTAGAGGTGGCAGATTGCAGGATGGAAAAAGAAGGGAATTGGAGAAGATGAGCAAGGGTGCTCATCTGCCCTTGCTCACATTTCCGAATTTTCACAGCCCTTTTCCTCAACCGATTCGACTTCAGCAGACAGGTGTCACAGCGGTTCGTAGTGCCAAGGACCTGGAAAGGTGGATGTAACTGATTATGAACAATAATTATCATGTTTTATTACACGACCGTCCATGGTAACAATCAAGTATGCCCGGTGCCAGATTGCAGGATGGGAAAAAAGGGATTGGAGACGATGAGCAAGGGTGCTCATCTGCCCATGCTCATTTTTTTCCAATTTTTCACAGCCCTTTTCCTAAACCGATTCGACTACAGCAGACAGGTGTCACAGCGTTTCGTAATGCCAAGGACCTGGAACGGGTGATGTACCTGATTATGAACAATATTCAAGAATTAGGACAAAGGCATTGATAACAAGGCTCTGTTTGACACATTTAATGTTTTTGGAGTAATTATGTCATGCAAGGTAGCTACTGACGATACGGGCCAGTCCAAGGGATACTGCTTTGTCATTTTAAGACTGATGAAGCTGCCCAACAAGCTATTGACAAAGTCAATGGGATGCTGCTGAATGACCGCAAGGTGTTTGGCAAAGCTGACCTGTCCCAAGCTTCTTTCATCTTCCATGTTATTTAAGTTTGTAAAGCAACGTTCAGGACAACATCAAATCTGCGTAAGCATGAACATATTCACACTGGGGAGAGGCCTTACAGGTGCGAAGTATGTGGAGCCACCTTAAAGCGGTTATCAACTCTACAGGTTATATTCAATGGTTCTTCCACGGGCGCAAGAATGAGGTATTGTCCCAACTATGCGCTTAGAGCGCTTTGAAAAGGAACAACAGCAGTACGATTTTTCACAATTGTTTCCTTCCGCAGCGGTACTCAGAATAGCGATCAGCAGAAAGAACTTTGGACAGAAGTTATATCAGGTTACTCTGATGATGCTGATATGCGTTGGAGTCCAGAACAAAACAGAGAGTTGCACATCGACCTCCGTTCAAGTGTGATGTATGCAGCAAATACTTCTCTCATTCAAGCGATCTGCTAGTACACAAACGTATTCACACCGGGGAGAAGCCTTTCGCGTGCACGGTTTGTAAAGCATCGTTCAGGACATCATCAAACCTTCGCAAGTATGAACGTATTCACAATGGGGAGAAGCCTTACAAGTGCAAGGTATTTGGAGCCTCCTTCAAGCGGTTATCAACTCTACAGGTTTTATCCAATGGTTCTTCCACGTGCGCAAGCGTGCGCAAGCATGAGGTATTTTCCCAACTATGCGCTTAGAGTCCATTGAAAAGGAACAAAAGACATAATTTTGTTTACATTTGTTTTGTTCCACAGCGGTACTCCGATTAGCGATCAGCAGAAGGAATTTTGGACAAGAGTGATAGCTTTCAAGTGCTCTGGTCTGTGTGATCTCGATTTGGTAACATCTTCATAAAGAATTAGGACAAGGGCATTGATAACAAGGCTCTGTTTGACACATTTAATGTTTTTGGAGTAATTATGTCATGCAAGGTAGCTACTGACGATACGGGCCAGTCCAAGGGATACTGCTTTGTCATTTTAAGACTGATGAAGCTGCCCAACAAGCTATTGACAAAGTCAATGGGATGCTGCTGAATGACCGCAAGGTGTTTGGCAAAGGTGACCTGTCCCAAGCTTCTTTCATCTTCCATGTTATTTAAGTTTGTAAAGCAACGTTCAGGACAACATCAAATCTGCGTAAGCATGAACATATTCACACTGGGGAGAGGCCTTACAGGTGCGAAGTATGGTGAGCCACCTTAAAGCGGTTATCAACTCTACAGGTTATATTCAATTGTTCTTCCACGGGAGCAAGAATGAGGTATTGTCCCAACTATGCGCTTAGAGCGCTTTAAAAAGGAACAGCAGTACGATTTTTCACAATTGTTTCCTTCCGCAGCGGTACTCAGAATAGCGATCAGCAGAAAGAACTTTGGACAGAAGTTATATCAGGTTACTCTGATGATGCTGATATGCGTTGGAGTCCAGAACAAATCAGAGAGTTGCACATCGACCTCCGTTCAAGTGTGATGTATGCAGCAAATACTTCTCTCATTCAAGCGATCTGCTAGTACACAAACGTATTCACACCGGGGAGAAGCCTTCCGCGTGCACGGTTTGTAAAGCAACGTTCAGGACATCATCAAACCTTCGCAAGCATGAACGTATTCACAATGGGGAGAAGCCTTACAAGTGCAAGGTATGTGGAGCCTCCTTCAAGCGGTTATCAACTCTACAGGTTTTATCCAACGGTTCTTCCACGTGCGCAAGCGTGCGCAAGCATGAGGTATTTTCCCAACTATGCGTTTAGAGTCCATTGAAAAGGAACAAAAGACATAATTTTGTTTACATTTGTTTTGTTCCACTGCGGTACTCAGATTAGCGATCAGCAGAAGGAATTTTGGACAAGAGTGATAGCTTTCAAGTGCTCTGGTCTGTGTGATCTCGATTTGGTAACATTTTCATCAAGAATTAGGACAAGGGCATTGATAACAAGGCTCTGTTTGACACATTTAATGTTTTTGGAGTAATTATGTCATGCAAGGTAGCTACTGACGTTAAGGGCCAGTCCAAGGGATACTGCTTTGTCATTTTAAGACTGATGAAGCTGCCCAACAAGCTATTGACAAAGTCAAAGGGATGCTGCTGAATGACCGCAAGGTGTTTGGCAAAGGTGACCTGTCCCAAGCTTCTTTCATCTTCCATGTTATTTAAGTTTGTAAAGCAACGTTCAGGACAACATCAAATCTGCGTAAGCATGAACATATTCACACTGGGGAGAGGCCTTACAGGTGCGAAGTATGTGGAGCCACCTTAAAGCGGTTATCAACTCTACAGGTTATATTCAATTGTTCTTCCACGGGCGCAAGAATGAGGTATTGTCCCAACTATGCGCTTAGAGCGCTTTGAAAAGGAACAACAGTAGTACGATTTTTCACAATTGTTTCCTTCAACAGCGGTACTCAGAATAGCGATCAGCAGAAAGAACTTTGGACAGAAGTTATATCAGGTTACTCTAATGATGCTGATATGCGTTGGAGTCCAGAACAAATCAGAGAGTTGCACATCGACCTCCGTTCAAGTGTGATGTATGCAGCATATACTTCTCTCATTCAAGCAATCTGCTAGTACACAAACGTATTCACACCGGGGAGAAGCCTTTCGCGTGCACGGTTTGTAAAGCATCGTTCAGGACATCATCAAACCTTCGCAAGTATGAACATATTCACAATGGGGAGAAGCCTTACAAGTGCAAGGTGTGTGGAGCCTCCTTCAAGCGGTTATCAACTCTACAGGTTTTATCCAACGGTTCTTCCAGGTGCGCAAGCGTGCGCAAGCATGAGGTATTTTCCCAACTATGCGCTTAGAGTCCATTGAAAAGGAACAAAAGACATAATTTTGTTTACATTTGTTTTGTTCCACTGCGGTACTCCGATTAGCGATCAGCAGAAGGAATTTTGGACCAGACTGATAGCTTTCAAGTGCTCTGGTCTGTGTGATCTCGATTTGGTAACATATTCATCAAGAATTAGGACAAGGGCATTGATAACAAGGCTCTGTTTGACACATTTAATGTTTTTGGAGTAATTATGTCATGCAAGGTAGCTACTGACGATACGGGCCAGTCCAAGGGATACTGCTTTGTCATTTTAAGACTGATGAAGCTGCCCAACAAGCTATTGACAAAGTCAATGGGATGCTGCTGAATGACCGCAAGGTGTTTGGCAAAGGTGACCTGTCCCAAGCTTCTTTCATCTTCCATGTTATTTAAGTTTGTAAAGCAACGTTCAGGACAACATGAAATCTGCGTAAGCATGAACATATTCACACTGGGGAGAGGCCTTACAGGTGCGAAGTATGTTGAGCCACCTTAAAGCGGTTATCAACTCGACAGGTTATATTCAATTGTTCTTCCACGGGAGCAAGAATGAGGTATTGTCCCAACTATGCGCTTAGAGCGCTTTAAAAAGGAACAAGAGCAGTACGATTTTTCACAATTGTTTCCTTCAACAGCGGTACTCAGAATAGCGATCAGCAGAAAGAACTTTGGACAGAAGTTATATCAGGTTACTCTAATGATGCTGATATGCGTTGGAGTCCAGAACAAATCAGAGAGTTGCACATCGACCTCCGTTCAAGTGTGATGTATGCAGCATATACTTCTCTCATTCAAGCAATCTGCTAGTACACAAACGTATTCACACCGGGGAGAAGCCTTTCGCGTGCACGGTTTGTAAAGCATCGTTCAGGACATCATCAAACCTTCGCAAGTATGAACATATTCACAATGGGGAGAAGCCTTACAAGTGCAAGGTGTGTGGAGCCTCCTTCAAGCGGTTATCAACTCTACAGGTTTTATCCAACGGTTCTTCCAGGTGCGCAAGCGTGCGCAAGCATGAGGTATTTTCCCAACTATGCGCTTAGAGTCCATTGAAAAGGAACAAAAGACATAATTTTGTTTACATTTGTTTTGTTCCACTGCGGTACTCCGATTAGCGATCAGCAGAAGGAATTTTGGACCAGACTGATAGCTTTCAAGTGCTCTGGTCTGTGTGATCTCGATTTGGTAACATATTCATCAAGAATTAGGACAAGGGCATTGATAACAAGGCTCTGTTTGACACATTTAATGTTTTTGGAGTAATTATGTCATGCAAGGTAGCTACTGACGATACGGGCCAGTCCAAGGGATACTGCTTTGTCATTTTAAGACTGATGAAGCTGCCCAACAAGCTATTGACAAAGTCAATGGGATGCTGCTGAATGACCGCAAGGTGTTTGGCAAAGGTGACCTGTCCCAAGCTTCTTTCATCTTCCATGTTATTTAAGTTTGTAAAGCAACGTTCAGGACAACATGAAATCTGCGTAAGCATGAACATATTCACACTGGGGAGAGGCCTTACAGGTGCGAAGTATGTTGAGCCACCTTAAAGCGGTTATCAACTCGACAGGTTATATTCAATTGTTCTTCCACGGGAGCAAGAATGAGGTATTGTCCCAACTATGCGCTTAGAGCGCTTTAAAAAGGAACAAGAGCAGTACGATTATTCACAATTGTTTCCTTCCGCAGCGGTACTCAGAATAGCGATCAGCAGAAAGAACTTTGGACAGAAGTTATATCAGGTTACTCTGATGATGCTGATATGCGTTGGAGTCCAGAACAAATCAGAGAGTTGCACATCGACCTCCGTTCAAGTGTGATGTATGCAGCAAATACTTCTCTCATTCAAGCGATCTGCTAGTACACAAACGTTTTCACACCGGGGAGAAGCCTTCCGCGTGCACGGTTTGTAAAGCAACGTTCAGGACATCATCAAACCTTCGCAAGCATGAACATATTAACAATGGGGAGAAGCCTTACAAGTGCAAGGTATGTGGAGCCTCCTTCAAGCGGTTATCAACTCTACAGGTTTTATCCAACGGTTCTTCCACGTGCGCAAGCGTGCGCAAGCATGAGGTATTTTCCCAACTATGCGTTTAGAGTCCATTGAAAAGGAACAAAAGACATAATTTTTTGATTACATTTGTTTTGTTCCACTGCGGTACTCAGATTAGCGCTCAGCAGAAGGAATTTTGGACAAGAGTGATAGCTTTCAAGTGCTCTGGTCTGTGTGATCTCGATTTGGTAACATCTTCATCAAGAATTAGGACAAGGGCAATGATAACAAGGCTCTGTTTGACACATTTAATGTTTTTGGAGTAATTATGTCATGCAAGGTAGCTACTGACGTTAAGGGCCAGTCCAAGGGATACTGCTTTGTCATTTTAAGACTGATGAAGCTGCCCAACAAGCTATTGACAAAGTCAATGGGATGCTGCTGAATGACCGCAAGGTGTTTGGCAAAGGTGACCTGTCCCAAGCTTCTTTCATCTTCCATGTTATTTAAGTTTGTAAAGCAACGTTCAGGACAACATCAAATCTGCGTAAGCATGAACATATTCACACTGGGGAGAGGCCTTACAGGTGCGAAGTATGTGGAGCCACCTTAAAGCGGTTATCAACTCTACAGGTTATATTCAATTGTTCTTCCACGGGCGCAAGAATGAGGTATTGTCCCAACTATGCGCCTAGAGCGCTTTGAAAAGGAACAACAGTAGTACGATTTTTCACGATTGTTTCCTTCAACAGCGGTACTCAGAATAGCGATCAGCAGAAAGAACTTTGGACAGAAGTTATATCAGGTTACTCTAGTGATGCTGATATGCGTTGGAGTCCAGAACAAATCAGAGAGTTGCACATCGACCTCCGTTCAAGTGTGATGTATGCAGCAAATACTTCTCTCATTCAAGCGATCTGCTGGTATAGAAACGTATTCACACCGGGGAGAAGCCTTTCGCGTGGAAAGTTTGTAAATCAACGTTCAGGACATCAAATTATACGTAAGCATGAACGCATTCGCTGTGGGGAGAGGCCTTACAAGAGCGAGGTATGTGGAGCTTCCTTCAAGCGGTTATCAACGTACAGGTTATATCCAATGGTTTTTCCACGTTCGCAATCATGAGGTATTGTCCCAACTATGCGCGGAGAGTCCTTTGAAAAGGAAGAATATACCGCTGAACTCGACTGATAGATGCCATGCTTGTAGAGGTGGCAGATTGCAGGATGGGAAAAGAAGGGAATTGGAGAAGATGAGCAAGGGTGCTCATCTGCCCTTGCTCACTCTTCCGAATTTTCACAGCCCTTTTCCTCACGATTCGACTACAGCAGACAGGTGTCACAGCGGTTCGTAGTGCCAAGGACCTGAAAAGGTGGATGTACCTGATTATGAACAATAATTATCATGTTTTATTACACGACCGTCCACGGCAACAATCAAGTATGCCCGGTGCCAGATTGCAGGATGGGAAAAAAGGGATTGGAGACGATGAGCCAGGGTGCTCATCTGCCCATGCTCATTTTTCTCCAATTTTTCACAGCACTTTTCCTAAACCGATTCGACTACAGCAGGCAGGTGTCACAGCGTTTCGTAATGCCAAGGACCTGGAACGGGTGATGTACCTGATTATGAACAATATTCAGCTGGTGTTTCCCTGTGTTGGATGGTGAGGTTAGTACATGTACTAGTGTTAGTAGTCATCCCTATAGGCCTAGCAAAGTCTCACAAATCTGCGTAAGCATGAACGTATTCACACTGGGGAGAGGCCCTACAAGTGCAAGGTATGTGGATCCTCCTCAAAGCGGTTATCAACTCTACAGGTTATATCCAACGGTTCTTTCACGTGCGCAAGAATGAGGTATTGTCCCAACTATGCGCTTAGAGTCCTTTGAAAAGGAACAAAAGCTATACTTTTGTTTACATATAATTATTTCCTTCAACAGCGGTACTCAGAATAGCGATCAGCAGAAAGAACTTTGGACAGAGGTTATATCAGGTTACTCTAATGATGCTGACATGCGTTGGAGTCCAGAACAAATCAGAGAGTTTCACATCGACCTCCACGGAGACGCACCTATCGCACCTTATACATGCAGTAGTTAACAGAACCAAGATACACATCGTCGTTCTGGAGAGATTGTGAAGCAGATCGCTTGAATGAGAGAAGTATTTGCTGCATACATCACACTTGAACGGAGGTCGATGTGCAATTCTCTGATTTGTTCAGGACAACATCAAATCTGCGTAAGCATGAACATATTCACATTGGGGAGAGGCCTTACAGGTGCGAAGTATGTGGAGCCACCTTAAAGCGGTTATCAACTCTACAGGTTATATTCAATTGTTCTTCCACGGGCGCAACAATGAGGTATTGTCCCAACTATGCGCTTAGAGCGCTTTAAAAAAGAACAACAGCAGTACGATTTTTCACAATTGTTTCCTTCAACAGCGGTACTCAGAATAGCGATCAGCAGAAAGAACTTTGGACAGAAGTTATATCAGGTTACTCTAATGATGCTGATATGCGTTGGAGTCCAGAACAAATCAGAGAGTTGCACATCGACCTCCGTTCAAGTGTGATGTATGCAGCAAATACTTCTCTCATTCAAGCGATCTGCTAGTACAGAAACGTATTCACACCGGGGAGAAGCCTTTCGCCAGGAAAGTTTGTAAATCAACGTTCAGGACATCAAATTATACGTAAGCATGAACGCATTCGCTGTGGGGAGAGGCCTTACAAGAGCGAGGTATGTGGAGCTTCCTTCAAGCGGTTACCAACGTACAGGTTATATCCAATGGTTTTTCCACGTTCGCAATCATGAAGTATTGTCCCAACTATGCGCGGAGAGTCCTTTGAAAAGTAACAAAAGATATAATTTTGTTTACATTTGTTTTGCGCCACTGCGGTACTCAGATTAGCGATCAGCAGAAGGAATTTTGGACGCTGTGGGGAGAGGCCTTACAAGAGCGAGGTATGTGGAGCTTCCTTCAAGCGGTTCCCAACGTACAGGTTATATCCAATGGTTTTTCCACGTTCGCAATCATGAGGTATTGTCCCAACTCTACGCGGAGAGTCCTTTGAAAAGGAACTAAAGCCTTTCGCGTGCACGGTTTGTAAAGCATCGTTCAGGACATCATCAAACCTTCGCAAGTATGAACGTATTCACAATGGGGAGAAGCCTTACAAGTGCAAGGTATTTGGAGCCTCCTTCAAGCGGTTATCAACTCTACAGGTTTTATCCAATGGTTCTTCCACGTGCGCAAGCGTGCGCAAGCATGAGGTATTTTCCCAACTATGCGCTTAGAGTCCATTGAAAAGGAACAAAAGACATAATTTTGTTTACATTTGTTTTGTTCCACAGCGGTACTCCGATTAGCGATCAGCAGAAGGAATTTTGGACAAGAGTGATAGCTTTCAAGTGCTCTGGTCTGTGTGATCTCGATTTGGTAACATCTTCATAAAGAATTAGGACAAGGGCATTGATAACAAGGCTCTGTTTGACACATTTAATGTTTTTGGAGTAATTATGTCATGCAAGGTAGCTACTGACGATACGGGCCAGTCCAAGGGATACTGCTTTGTCATTTTAAGACTGATGAAGCTGCCCAACAAGCTATTGACAAAGTCAATGGGATGCTGCTGAATGACCGCAAGGTGTTTGGCAAAGGTGACCTGTCCCAAGCTTCTTTCATCTTCCATGTTATTTAAGTTTGTAAAGCAACGTTCAGGACAACATCAAATCTGCGTAAGCATGAACATATTCACACTGGGGAGAGGCCTTACAGGTGCGACGTATGGTGAGCCACCTTAAAGCGGTTATCAACTCTACAGGTTATATTCAATTGTTCTTCCACGGGAGCAAGAATGAGGTATTGTCCCAACTATGCGCTTAGAGCGCTTTAAAAAGGAACAGCAGTACGATTTTTCACAATTGTTTCCTTCCGCAGCGGTACTCAGAATAGCGATCAGCAGAAAGAACTTTGGACAGAAGTTATATCAGGTTACTCTGATGATGCTGATATGCGTTGGAGTCCAGAACAAATCAGAGAGTTGCACATCGACCTCCGTTCAAGTGTGATGTATGCAGCAAATACTTCTCTCATTCAAGCGATCTGCTAGTACACAAACGTATTCACACCGGGGAGAAGCCTTCCGCGTGCACGGTTTGTAAAGCAACGTTCAGGACATCATCAAACCTTCGCAAGCATGAACGTATTCACAATGGGGAGAAGCCTTACAAGTGCAAGGTATGTGGAGCCTCCTTCAAGCGGTTATCAACTCTACAGGTTTTATCCAACGGTTCTTCCACGTGCGCAAGCGTGCGCAAGCATGAGGTATTTTCCCAACTATGCGTTTAGAGTCCATTGAAAAGGAACAAAAGACATAATTTTGTTTACATTTGTTTTGTTCCACTGCGGTACTCAGATTAGCGATCAGCAGAAGGAATTTTGGACAAGAGTGATAGCTTTCAAGTGCTCTGGTCTGTGTGATCTCGATTTGGTAACATTTTCATCAAGAATTAGGACAAGGGCATTGATAACAAGGCTCTGTTTGACACATTTAATGTTTTTGGAGTAATTATGTCATGCAAGGTAGCTACTGACGTTAAGGGCCAGTCCAAGGGATACTGCTTTGTCATTTTAAGACTGATGAAGCTGCCCAACAAGCTATTGACAAAGTCAAAGGGATGCTGCTGAATGACCGCAAGGTGTTTGGCAAAGGTGACCTGTCCCAAGCTTCTTTCATCTTCCATGTTATTTAAGTTTGTAAAGCAACGTTCAGGACAACATCAAATCTGCGTAAGCATGAACATATTCACACTGGGGAGAGGCCTTACAGGTGCGAAGTATGTGGAGCCACCTTAAAGCGGTTATCAACTCTACAGGTTATATTCAATTGTTCTTCCACGGGCGCAAGAATGAGGTATTGTCCCAACTATGCGCTTAGAGCGCTTTGAAAAGGAACAACAGTAGTACGATTTTTCACAATTGTTTCCTTCAACAGCGGTACTCAGAATAGCGATCAGCAGAAAGAACTTTGGACAGAAGTTATATCAGGTTACTCTAATGATGCTGATATGCGTTGGAGTCCAGAACAAATCAGAGAGTTGCACATCGACCTCCGTTCAAGTGTGATGTATGCAGCAAATACTTCTCTCATTCAAGCAATCTGCTAGTACACAAACGTATTCACACCGGGGAGAAGCCTTTCGCGTGCACGGTTTGTAAAGCATCGTTCAGGACATCATCAAACCTTCGCAAGTATGAACATATTCACAATGGGGAGAAGCCTTACAAGTGCAAGGTGTGTGGAGCCTCCTTCAAGCGGTTATCAACTCTACAGGTTTTATCCAACGGTTCTTCCAGGTGCGCAAGCGTGCGCAAGCATGAGGTATTTTCCCAACTATGCGCTTAGAGTCCATTGAAAAGGAACAAAAGACATAATTTTGTTTACATTTGTTTTGTTCCACTGCGGTACTCCGATTAGCGATCAGCAGAAGGAATTTTGGACCAGACTGATAGCTTTCAAGTGCTCTGGTCTGTGTGATCTCGATTTGGTAACATATTCATCAAGAATTAGGACAAGGGCATTGATAACAAGGCTCTGTTTGACACATTTAATGTTTTTGGAGTAATTATGTCATGCAAGGTAGCTACTGACGATACGGGCCAGTCCAAGGGATACTGCTTTGTCATTTTAAGACTGATGAAGCTGCCCAACAAGCTATTGACAAAGTCAATGGGATGCTGCTGAATGACCGCAAGGTGTTTGGCAAAGCTGACCTGTCCCAAGCTTCTTTCATCTTCCATGTTATTTAAGTTTGTAAAGCAACGTTCAGGACAACATGAAATCTGCGTAAGCATGAACATATTCACACTGGGGAGAGGCCTTACAGGTGCGAAGTATGTTGAGCCACCTTAAAGCGGTTATCAACTCGACAGGTTATATTCAATTGTTCTTCCACGGGAGCAAGAATGAGGTATTGTCCCAACTATGCGCTTAGAGCGCTTTAAAAAGGAACAAGAGCAGTACGATTATTCACAATTGTTTCCTTCCGCAGCGGTACTCAGAATAGCGATCAGCAGAAAGAACTTTGGACAGAAGTTATATCAGGTTACTCTGATGATGCTGATATGCGTTGGAGTCCAGAACAAATCAGAGAGTTGCACATCGACCTCCGTTCAAGTGTGATGTATGCAGCAAATACTTCTCTCATTCAAGCGATCTGCTAGTACACAAACGTTTTCACACCGGGGAGAAGCCTTCCGCGTGCACGGTTTGTAAAGCAACGTTCAGGACATCATCAAACCTTCGCAAGCATGAACATATTAACAATGGGGAGAAGCCTTACAAGTGCAAGGTATGTGGAGCCTCCTTCAAGCGGTTATCAACTCTACAGGTTTTATCCAACGGTTCTTCCACGTGCGCAAGCGTGCGCAAGCATGAGGTTTTTTCCCAACTATGCGTTTAGAGTCCATTGAAAAGGAACAAAAGACATAATTTTTTGATTACATTTGTTTTGTTCCACTGCGGTACTCAGATTAGCGCTCAGCAGAAGGAATTTTGGACAAGAGTGATAGCTTTCAAGTGCTCTGGTCTGTGTGATCTCGATTTGGTAACATCTTCATCAAGAATTAGGACAAGGGCAATGATAACAAGGCTCTGTTTGACACATTTAATGTTTTTGGAGTAATTATGTCATGCAAGGTAGCTACTGACGTTAAGGGCCAGTCCAAGGGATACTGCTTTGTCATTTTAAGACTGATGAAGCTGCCCAACAAGCTATTGACAAAGTCAATGGGATGCTGCTGAATGACCGCAAGGTGTTTGGCAAAGGTGACCTGTCCCAAGCTTCTTTCATCTTCCATGTTATTTAAGTTTGTAAAGCAACGTTCAGGACAACATCAAATCTGCGTAAGCATGAACATATTCACACTGGGGAGAGGCCTTACAGGTGCGAAGTATGTGGAGCCACCTTAAAGCGGTTATCAACTCTACAGGTTATATTCAATTGTTCTTCCACGGGCGCAAGAATGAGGTATTGTCCCAACTATGCGCTTAGAGCGCTTTGAAAAGGAACAACAGTAGTACGATTTTTCACGATTGTTTCCTTCAACAGCGGTACTCAGAATAGCGATCAGCAGAAAGAACTTTGGACAGAAGTTATATCAGGTTACTCTAGTGATGCTGATATGCGTTGGAGTCCAGAACAAATCAGAGAGTTGCACATCGACCTCCGTTCAAGTGTGATGTATGCAGCAAATACTTCTCTCATTCAAGCGATCTGCTGGTATAGAAACGTATTCACACCGGGGAGAAGCCTTTCGCGTGGAAAGTTTGTAAATCAACGTTCAGGACATCAAATTATACGTAAGCATGAACGCATTCGCTGTGGGGAGAGGCCTTACAAGAGCGAGGTATGTGGAGCTTCCTTCAAGCGGTTATCAACGTACAGGTTATATCCAATGGTTTTTCCACGTTCGCAATCATGAGGTATTGTCCCAACTATGCGCGGAGAGTCCTTTGAAAAGGAAGAATATACCGCTGAACTCGACTGATAGATGCCATGCTTGTAGAGGTGGCAGATTGCAGGATGGGAAAAGAAGGGAATTGGAGAAGATGAGCAAGGGTGCTCATCTGCCCTTGCTCACTCTTCCGAATTTTCACAGCCCTTTTCCTCACGATTCGACTACAGCAGACAGGTGTCACAGCGGTTCGTAGTGCCAAGGACCTGAAAAGGTGGATGTACCTGATTATGAACAATAATTATCATGTTTTATTACACGACCGTCCACGGCAACAATCAAGTATGCCCGGTGCCAGATTGCAGGATGGGAAAAAAGGGATTGGAGACGATGAGCCAGGGTGCTCATCTGCCCATGCTCATTTTTCTCCAATTTTTCACAGCACTTTTCCTAAACCGATTCGACTACAGCAGGCAGGTGTCACAGCGTTTCGTAATGCCAAGGACCTGGAACGGGTAATGTACCTGATTATGAACAATATTCAGCTGGTGTTTCCCTGTGTTGGATGGTGAGGTTAGTACATGTACTAGTGTTAGTAGTCATCCCTATAGGCCTAGCAAAGTCTCACAAATCTGCGTAAGCATGAACGTATTCACACTGGGGAGAGGCCCTACAAGTGCAAGGTATGTGGATCCTCCTCAAAGCGGTTATCAACTCTACAGGTTATATCCAACGGTTCTTTCACGTGCGCAAGAATGAGGTATTGTCCCAACTATGCGCTTAGAGTCCTTTGAAAAGGAACAAAAGCTATACTTTTGTTTACATATAATTATTTCCTTCAACAGCGGTACTCAGAATAGCGATCAGCAGAAAGAACTTTGGACAGAGGTTATATCAGGTTACTCTAATGATGCTGACATGCGTTGGAGTCCAGAACAAATCAGAGAGTTTCACATCGACCTCCACGGAGACGCACCTATCGCACCTTATACATGCAGTAGTTAACAGAACCAAGATACACATCGTCGTTCTGGAGAGATTGTGAAGCAGATCGCTTGAATGAGAGGAGTATTTGCTGCATACATCACACTTGAACGGAGGTCGATGTGCAATTCTCTGATTTGTTCAGGACAACATCAAATCTGCGTAAGCATGAACATATTCACATTGGGGAGAGGCCTTACAGGTGCGAAGTATGTGGAGCCACCTTAAAGCGGTTATCAACTCTACAGGTTATATTCAATTGTTCTTCCACGGGCGCAACAATGAGGTATTGTCCCAACTATGCGCTTAGAGCGCTTTGAAAAGGAACAACAGTAGTACGATTTTTCACAATTGTTTCCTTCAACAGCGGTACTCAGAATAGCGATCAGCAGAAAGAACTTTGGACAGAAGTTATATCAGGTTACTCTAATGATGCTGATATGCGTTGGAGTCCAGAACAAATCAGAGAGTTGCACATCGACCTCCGTTCAAGTGTGATGTATGCAGCAAATACTTCTCTCATTCAAGCGATCTGCTAGTACAGAAACGTATTCACACCGGGGAGAAGCCTTTCGCCAGGAAAGTTTGTAAATCAACGTTCAGGACATCAAATTATACGTAAGCATGAACGCATTCGCTGTGGGGAGAGGCCTTACAAGAGCGAGGTATGTGGAGCTTCCTTCAAGCGGTTACCAACGTACAGGTTATATCCAATGGTTTTTCCACGTTCGCAATCATGAGGTATTGTCCCAACTATGCGCGGAGAGTCCTTTGAAAAGTAACAAAAGATATAATTTTGTTTACATTTGTTTTGCGCCACTGCGGTACTCAGATTAGCGATCAGCAGAAGGAATTTTGGACGCTGTGGGGAGAGGCCTTACAAGAGCGAGGTATGTGGAGCTTCCTTCAAGCGGTTCCCAACGTACAGGTTATATCCAATGGTTTTTCCACGTTCGCAATCATGAGGTATTGTCCCAACTCTACGCGGAGAGTCCTTTGAAAAGGAACTAAAGATATAATTTTGTTTACATTTGTTTTGTTCCACTGCGGTACTCAGATTAGCGATCAGCAGAAGGAATTTTGGACAAGAGTGATAGCTTTCAAGTGCTCTGGTCTGTGTGATCTCGATTTGGTAACATCTTTATCAAGAATTAGGACAAGGGCATTGATAACAAGGCTCTGTTTGACACATTTAATGTTTTTGGAGTAATTATGTCATGCAAGGTAGCTACTGACGATACGGGCCAGTCCAAGGGATACTGCTTTGTCATTTTAAGACTGATGAAGCTGCCCAACAAGCTATTGACAAAGTCAATGGGATGCTGCTGAATGACCGCAAGGTGTTTGGCAAAGGTGAACTGTCCCAAGCTTCTTTCATCTTTCATGTTATTTAAGTTTGTAAAGCAACGTTCAGGACAACATCAAATCTGCGTAAGCATGAACATATTCACACTGGGGAGAGGCCTTACAGGTGCGAAGTATGTGGCGCCACCTTAAAGCGGTTATCAACTCTACAGGTTATATTCAATTGTTCTTCCACGGGCGCAAGAATGAGGTATTGTCCCAACTATGCGCTTAGAGCGCTCTAAAAAGGAACAACAGCAGTACGATTTTTCACAATTGTTTCCTTCAACAGCAGTACTCAGAATAGCGATCAGCAGAAAGAACTTTGGACAGAAGTTATATCAGGTTACTCTAATGATGCTGATATGCGTTGGAGTCCAGAACAAATCAGAGAGTTGCACATCGACTTCCGTTCAAGTGTGATGTATGCAGCAAATACTTCTCTCATTCAAGCGATCTGCTAGTACAGAAACGTATTCACACCGGGGAGAAGCCTTTCGCCAGGAAAGTTTGTAAATCAACGTTCAGGACATCAAATTATACGTAAGCATGAACGCATTCGCTGTGGGGAGAGGCCTTACAAGAGCGAGGTATGTGGAGCTTCCTTCAAGCGGTTACCAACGTACAGGTTATATCCAATGGTTTTTCCACGTTCGCAATCATGAGGTATTGTCCCAACTACGCGCGGAGAGTCCTTTGAAAAGGAACAAAAGATATAATTTTGTTTACATTTGTTTTGTTCCACTGCGGTACTCAGATTAGCGATCAGCAGAAGGAATTTTGGACAAGAGTGATAGCTTTCAAGTGCTTCGGTCTGTGTGATCTCGATTTGGTAACATCTTCATCAAGAATATGGACAAGGGCATTGATAACAAGGCTCTGTTTGACACATTTAATGTTTTTGGAGTAATTATGTCATGCAAGGTAGCTACTGACGATAAGGGCCAGTCCAAGGGATACTGCTTTGTCATTTTAAGACTGATGAAGCTGCCCAACAAGCTATTGACAAAGTCAATGGGATGCTGCTGAATGACCGCAAGGTGTTTGGCAAAGGTGATCTGTCCCAAGCTTCTTTCATCTTTCATGTTATTTAAGTTTGTAAAGCAACGTTCAGGACAACATCAAATCTGCGTAAGAATGAACATATTCACACTGGGGAGAGGCCTTACAGGTGCGAAGTATGTGGAGCCACCTTAAAGCGGTTATCAACTCTACAGGTTATATTCAATTGTTCTTCCACGGGCGCAAGAATGAGGTATTGTCCCAACTATGCGCTTAGAGCGCTTTGAAAAGGAACAACAGCAGTACGATTTTTCACAATTGTTTCCTTCAACAGCGGTACTCAGAATAGCGATCAGCAGAAAGAACTTTGGACAGAAGTTATATCAGGTTACTCTGATGATGCTGATATGCGTTGGAGTCCAGAATAAATCAGAGAGTTGCACATCGACCTCCGTTCAAGTGTGATGTATGCAGCAAATACTTCTCTCATTCAAGCGATCTGCTAGTACAGAAACGTATTCACACCGGGGAGAAGCCTTTCGCGTGGAAAGTTTGTAAATCAACGTTCAGGACATCAAATTATACGTAAGCATGAACGCATTCGCTGTGGGGAGAGGCCTTACAAGAGCGAGGTATGTGGAGCTTCCTTCAAGCGGTTATCAACGTACAGGTTATATCCAATGGTTTTTCCACGTTCGCAATCATGAGGTATTGTCCCAACTAGGCGCGGAGAGTCCTTTGAAAAGGAAGAATATACCGCTGAACTCGACTGATAGATGCCATGCTTGTAGAGGTGGCAGATTGCAGGATAGGAAAAGAAGGGAATTGGAGAAGATGAGCAAGGGTGCTCATCTGCCCTTGCTCACTTTTCCGAATTTTCACAGCCCTTTTCCTCAACCGATTCGACTTCAGCAGACAGGTGTCACAGCGGTTCGTAGTGCCAAGGACCTGGAAAGGTGGATGTAACTGATTATGAACAATAATTATCATGTTTTATTACACGACCGTCCGCGGTAACAATCAAGTATGCCTGGTGCCAGATTGCAAGATGGGAAAAAAGGGATTGGAGACGATGAGCAAGGGTGCTCATCTGCCCATGCTCATTTTTTCCAATTTTTCACAGCCCTTTTCCTAAACCGATTCGACTACAGCAGACAGGTGTCACAGCGTTTCGTAATGCCAAGGACCTGGAACGGGTGATGTACCTGATTATGAACAATATTCAAGAATTAGGACAAAGGCATTGATAACAAGGCTCTGTTTGACACATTTAATGTTTTTGGAGTAATTATGTCATGCAAGGTAGCTACTGACGATACGGGCCAGTCCAAGGGATACTGCTTTGTCATTTTAAGACTGATGAAGCTGCCCAACAAGCTATTGACAAAGTCAATGGGATGCTGCTGAATGACCGCAAGGTGTTTGGCAAAGGTGACCTGTCCCAAGCTTCTTTCACCTTCCATGTTATTTAAGTTTGTAAAGCAACGTTCAGGACAACATCAAATCTGCGTAAGCATGAACATATTCACACTGGGGAGAGGCCTTACAGGTGCGAAGTATGTGGAGCCACCTTAAAGCGGTTATCAACTCTACAGGTTATATTCAAGTGTTCTTCCACGGGCGCAAGAATGGGGTATTGTCCCAACTATGCGCTTAGAGCGCTTTAAAAAGGAACAACAGCAGTACGATTTTTCACAATTGTTTCCTTCCGCAGCGGTACTCAGAATAGCGATCAGCAGAAAGAACTTTGGACAGAAGTTATATCAGGTTACTCTGATGATGCAGATATGAGTTGGAGTCCAGAACAAAACAGAGAGTTGCACATCGACCTCCGTTCAAGTGTGATGTATGCAGCAAATACTTCTCTCATTCAAGCGATCTGCTAGTACACAAACGTATTCACACCGGGGAGAAGCCTTTCGCGTGCACGGTTTGTAAAGCATCGTTCAGGACATCATCAAACCTTCGCAAGTATGAACGTATTCACAATGGGGAGAAGCCTTACAAGTGCAAGTTATGTGGAGCCTCCTTTAAGCGGTTATCAACTCTACAGATTTTATCCAACGGTTCTTCCACGTGCGCAAGCGTGCGCAAGCATGAGGTATTTTCCAAACTATGCGCTTAGAGTCCATTGAAAAGGAACAAAAGACATAATTTTGTTTACATTTGTTTTGTTCCACTGCGGTACTCCGATTAGCGATCAGCAGAAGGAATTTTGGACAAGAGTGATAGCTTTCAAGTGCTCTGGTCTGTGTGATCTCGATTTGGTAACATCTTCATCAAGAATTAGGACAAGGACATTGATAACAAGGCTCTGTTTGACACATTTAATGTTTTTGGAGTAATTATGTCATGCAAGGTAGCTACTGACGATACGGGCCAGTCCAAGGGATACTGCTTTGTCATTTTAAGACTGATGAAGCTGCCCAACAAGCTATTGACCAAGTCAATGGGATGCTGCTGAATGACCGCAAGGTGTTTGGCAAAGGTGACCTGTCCCAAGCTTCTTTCATCTTCCATGTTATTTAAGTTTGTAAAGCAACGTTCAGGACAACATCAAATCTGCGTAAGCATGAACATATTCACACTGGGGAGAGGCCTTACAGGTGCGAAGTATGGTGAGCCACCTTAAAGCGGTTATCAACTATACAGGTTATATTCAATTGTTCTTCCACGGGAGCAAGAATGAGGTATTGTCCCAACTATGCGCTTAGAGCGCTTTAAAAAGGAACAGCAGTACGATTTTTCACAATTGTTTCCTTCCGCAGCGGTACTCAGAATAGCGATCAGCAGAAAGAACTTTGGACAGAAGTTATATCAGGTTACTCTGATGATGCTGATATGCGTTGGAGTCCAGAACAAATCAGAGAGTTGCACATCGACCTCCGTTCAAGTGTGATGTATGCAGCAAATACTTCTCTCATTCAAGCGATCTGCTAGTACACAAACGTATTCACACCGGGGAGAAGCCTTCCGCGTGCACGGTTTGTAAAGCAACGTTCAGGACATCATCAAACCTTCGCAAGCATGAACGTATTCACAATGGGGAGAAGCCTTACAAGTGCAAGGTATGTGGAGCCTCCTTCAAGCGGTTATCAACTCTACAGGTTTTATCCAACGGTTCTTCCACGTGCGCAAGCGTGCGCAAGCATGAGGTATTTTCCCAACTATGCGTTTAGAGTCCATTGAAAAGGAACAAAAGACATAATTTTGTTTACATTTGTTTTGTTCCACTGCGGTACTCAGATTAGCGATCAGCAGAAGGAATTTTGGACAAGAGTGATAGCTTTCAAGTGCTCTGGTCTGTGTGATCTCGATTTGGTAACATTTTCATCAAGAATTAGGACAAGGGCATTGATAACAAGGCTCTGTTTGACACATTTAATGTTTTTGGAGTAATTATGTCATGCAAGGTAGCTACTGACGATAAGGGCCAGTCCAAGGGATACTGCTTTGTCATTTTAAGACTGATGAAGCTGCCCAACAAGCTATTGACAAAGTCAATGGGATGCTGCTGAATGACCGCAAGGTGTTTGGCAAAGGTGACCTGTCCCAAGCTTCTTTCATCTTCCATGTTATTTAAGTTTGTAAAGCAACGTTCAGGACAACATCAAATCTGCGTAAGCATGAACATATTCACACTGGGGAGAGGCCTTACAGGTGCGAAGTATGGTGAGCCACCATAAAGCGGTTATCAACTCTACAGGTTATATTCAATTGTTCTTCCACGGGAGCAAGAATGAGGTATTGTCCCAACTATGCGCTTAGAGCGATTTAAAAAGGAACAGCAGTACGATTTTTCACAATTGTTTCCTTCCGCAGCGGTACTCAGAATAGCGATCAGCAGAAAGAACTTTGGACAGAAGTTATATCAGGTTACTCTGATGATGCTGATATGCGTTGGAGTCCAGAACAAATCAGAGAGTTGCACATCGACCTCCGTTCAAGTGTGATGTATGCAGCAAATACTTCTCTCATTCAAGCGATCTGCTAGTACACAAACGTATTCACACCGGGGAGAAGCCTTCCGCGTGCACGGTTTGTAAAGCAACGTTCAGGACATCATCAAACCTTCGCAAGCATGAACGTATTCACAATGGGGAGAAGCCTTACAAGTGCAAGGTATGTGGAGCCTCCTTCAAGCGGTTATCAACTCTACAGGTTTTATCCAACGGTTCTTCCACGTGCGCAAGCGTGCGCAAGCATGAGGTATTTTCCCAACTATGCGTTTAGAGTCCATTGAAAAGGAACAAAAGACATAATTTTGTTTACATTTGTTTTGTTCCACTGCGGTACTCAGATTAGCGATCAGCAGAAGGAATTTTGGACAAGAGTGATAGCTTTCAAGTGCTCTGGTCTGTGTGATCTCGATTTGGTAACATTTTCATCAAGAATTAGGACAAGGGCATTGATAACAAGGCTCTGTTTGACACATTTAATGTTTTTGGAGTAATTATGTCATGCAAGGTAGCTACTGACGTTAAGGGCCAGTCCAAGGGATACTGCTTTGTCATTTTAGGACTGATGAAGCTGCCCAACAAGCTATTGACAAAGTCAATGGGATGCTGCTGAATGACCGCAAGGTGTTTGGCAAAGGTGACCTGTCCCAAGCTTCTTTCATCTTCCATGTTATTTAAGTTTGTAAAGCAACGTTCAGGACAACATCAAATCTGCGTAAGCATGAACATATTCACACTGGGGAGAGGCCTTACAGGTGCGAAGTATGTGGAGCCACCTTAAAGCGGTTATCAACTCTACAGGTTATATTCAATTGTTCTTCCACGGGCGCAAGAATGAGGTATTGTCCCAACTATGCGCTTAGAGCGCTTTGAAAAGGAACAACAGTAGTACGATTTTTCACAATTGTTTCCTTCAACAGCTGTACTCAGAATAGCGATCAGCAGAAAGAACTTTGGACAGAAGTTATATCAGGTTACTCTGATGATGCTGATATGAGTTGGAGTCCAGAACAAAACAGAGAGTTGCACATCGACCTCCGTTCAAGTGTGATGTATGCAGCAAATACTTCTCTCATTCAAGCGATCTGCTAGTACACAAACGTATTCACACCGGGGAGAAGCCTTTCGCGTGCACGGTTTGTAAAGCATCGTTCAGGACATCATCAAACCTTCGCAAGTATGAACGTATTCACAATGGGGAGAAGCCTTACAAGTGCAAGGTATGTGGAGCCTCCTTTAAGCGGTTATCAACTCTACAGGTTTTATCCAACGGTTCTTCCACGTGCGCAAGCGTGCGCAAGCATGAGGTATTTTCCCAACTATGCGCTTAGAGTCCATTGAAAAGGAACAAAAGACATAATTTTGTTTACATTTGTTTTGTTCCACTGCGGTACTCCGATTAGCGATCGGCAGAAGGAATTTTGGACAAGAGTGATAGCTTTCAAGTGCTCTTGTCTGTGTGATCTCGATTTGGTAACATCTTCATCAAGAATTAGGACAAGGGCATTGATAACAAGGCTCTGTTTGACACATTTAATGTTTTTGGAGTAATTATGTCATGCAAGGTAGCTACTGACGATACGGGCCAGTCCAAGGGATACTGCTTTGTCATTTTAAGACTGATGAAGCTGCCCAACAAGCTATTGACAAAGTCAATGGGATGCTGCTGAATGACCGCAAGGTGTTTGGCAAAGGTGACCTGTCCCAAGCTTCTTTCATCTTCCATGTTATTTAAGTTTGTAAAGCAACGTTCAGGACAACATCAAATCTGCGTAAGCATGAACATATTCACACTGGGGAGAGGCCTTACAGGTGCGAAGTATGGTGAGCCACCTTAAAGCGGTTATCAACTATACAGGTTATATTCAATTGTTCTTCCACGGGAGCAAGAATGAGGTATTGTCCCAACTATGCGCTTAGAGCGCTTTAAAAAGGAACAGCAGTACGATTTTTCACAATTGTTTCCTTCCGCAGCGGTACTCAGAATAGCGATCAGCAGAAAGAACTTTGGACAGAAGTTATATCAGGTTACTCTGATGATGCTGATATGCGTTGGAGTCCAGAACAAATCAGAGAGTTGCACATCGACCTCCGTTCAAGTGTGATGTATGCAGCAAATACTTCTCTCATTCAAGCGATCTGCTAGTACACAAACGTATTCACACCGGGGAGAAGCCTTCCGCGTGCACGGTTTGTAAAGCAACGTTCAGGACATCATCAAACCTTCGCAAGCATGAACGTATTCACAATGGGGAGAAGCCTTACAAGTGCAAGGTATGTGGAGCCTCCTTCAAGCGGTTATCAACTCTACAGGTTTTATCCAACGGTTCTTCCACGTGCGCAAGCGTGCGCAAGCATGAGGTATTTTCCCAACTATGCGTTTAGAGTCCATTGAAAAGGAACAAAAGACATAATTTTGTTTACATTTGTTTTGTTCCACTGCGGTACTCAGATTAGCGATCAGCAGAAGGACTTTTGGACAAGAATGATAGCTTTCAAGTGCTCTGGTCTGTGTGATCTCGATTTGGTAACATTTTCATCAAGAATTAGGACAAGGGCATTGATAACAAGGCTCTGTTTGACACATTTAATGTTTTTGGAGTAATTATGTCATGCAAGGTAGCTACTGACGATAAGGGCCAGTCCAAGGGATACTGCTTTGTCATTTTAAGACTGATGACGCTGCCCAACAAGCTATTGACAAAGTCAATGGGATGCTGCTGAATGACCGCAAGGTGTTTGGCAAAGGTGACCTGTCCCAAGCTTCTTTCATCTTCCATGTTATTTAAGTTTGTAAAGCAACGTTCAGGACAACATCAAATCTGCGTAAGCATGAACATATTCACACTGGGGAGAGGCCTTACAGGTGCGAAGTATGTGGAGCCACCTTAAAGCGGTTATCAACTCTACAGGTTATATTCAATTGTTCTTCCACGGGCGCAAGAATGAGGTATTGTCCCAACTATGCGCTTAGAGCGCTTTGAAAAGGAACAACAGCAGTACGATTTTTCACAATTGTTTCCTTCCGCAGCGGTACTCAAAATAGCGATCAGCAGAAAGAACTTTGGACAGAAGTTAAATCAGGTTACTCTGATGATGCTGATATGCGTTGGAGTCCAGAACAAATCAGAGAGTTGCACATCGACCTCCGTTCAAGTGTGATGTATGCAGCAAATACTTCTCTCATTCAAGCGATCTGCTAGTACAGAAACGTATTCTCACCGGGGAGAAGCCTTTCGCGTGGAAAGCTTGTAAATCAACGTTCAGGACATCAAATTATACGTAAGCATGAACGCATTCGCTGTGGGGAGAGGCCTTACAAGAGCGAGGTATATGGAGCTTCCTTCAAGCTGTTATCAACGTACAGGTTATATCCAATGGTTTTTCCACGTTCGCAATCATGAGGTATTGTCCCAACTATGCGCGGAGAGTCCTTTGAAAAAGAAGAATATACCGCCTAACTCGATTGAAAGATGCCATGCTTGTAGAGGTGGCAGATTGCAGGATGGAAAAAGAAGGGAATTGGAGAAGATGAGCAAGGGTGCTCATCTGCCCTTGCTCACTTTTCCGAATTTTCACAGCCCTTTTCCTCAACCGATTCGACTTCAGCAGACAGGTGTCACAGCGGTTCGTAGTGCCAAGGACCTGGAAAGGTGGATGTAACTGATTATGAACAATAATTATCATGTTTTATTACACGACCGTCCATGGTAACAATCAAGTATGCCCGGTGCCAGATTGCAGGATGGGAAAAAAGGGATTGGAGACGATGAGCAAGGGTGCTCATCTGCCCATGCTCATTTTTTTCCAATTTTTCACAGCCCTTTTCCTAAACCGATTCGACTACAGCAGACAGGTGTCACAGCGTTTCGTAATGCCAAGGACCTGGAACGGGTGATGTACCTGATTATGAACAATATTCAAGAATTAGGACAAAGGCATTGATAACAAGGCTCTGTTTGACACATTTAATGTTTTTGGAGCAATTATGTCATGCAAGGTAGCTACTGACGATACGGGCCAGTCCAAGGGATACTGCTTTGTCATTTTAAGACTGATGAAGCTGCCCAACAAGCTATTGACAAAGTCAATGGGATGCTGCTGAATGACCGCAAGGTGTTTGGCAAAGGTGACCTGTCCCAAGCTTCTTTCATCTTCCATGTTATTTAAGTTTGTAAAGCAACGTTCAGGACAACATCAAATCTGCGTAAGCATGAACATATTCACACTGGGGAGAGGCCTTACAGCTGCGAAGTATGGTGAGCCACCTTAAAGCGGTTATCAACTCTACAGGTTATATTCAATTGTTCTTCCACGGGAGCAAGAATGAGGTATTGTCCCAACTATGCGCTTAGAGCGCTTTAAAAAGGAACAACAGCAGCACGATTATTCACAATTGTTTCCTTCCGCAGCGGTACTCAGAATAGCGATCAGCAGAAAGAACTTTGGACAGAAGTTATATCAGGTTACTCTGATGATGCTGATATGCGTTGGAGTCCAGAACAAATCAGAGAGTTGCACATCGACCTCCGTTCAAGTGTGATGTATGCAGCAAATACTTCTCTCATTCAAGCGATCTGCTAGTACACAAAAGTATTCACACCGGGGAGAAGCCTTCCGCGTGCACGGTTTGTAAAGCAACGTTCAGGACATCATCAAACCTTCGCAAGCATGAACGTATTCACAATGGGGAGAAGCCTTACAAGTGCAAGGTATGTGGAGCCTCCTTCAAGCAGTTATCAACTCTACAGGTTTTATCCAACGGTTCTTCCACGTGCGCAAGCGTGCGCAAGCATGAGGTATTTTCCCAACTATGCGTTTAGAGTCCATTGAAAAGGAACAAAAGACATAATTTTGTTTACATTTGTTTTGTTCCACTGCGGTACTCAGATTAGCGATCAGCAGAAGGAATTTTGGACAAGAGTGATAGCTTTCAAGTGCTCTGGTCTGTGTGATCTCGATTTGGTAACATTTTCATCAAGAATTAGGACAAGGGCATTGATAACAAGGCTCTGTTTGACACATTTAATGTTTTTGGAGTAATTATGTCATGCAAGGTAGCTACTGACGTTAAGGGCCAGTCCAAGGGATACTGCTTTGTCATTTTAAGACTGATGAAGCTGCCCAACAAGCTATTGACAAAGTCAATGGGATGCTGCTGAATGACCGCAAGGTGTTTGGCAAAGGTGACCTGTCCCAAGCTTCTTTCATCTTCCATGTTATTTAAGTTTGTAAAGCAACGTTCAGGACAACATCAAATCTGCGTAAGCATGAACATATTCACACTGGGGAGAGGCCTTACAGGTGCGAAGTATGGTGAGCCACCTTAAAGCGGTTATCAACTCTACAGGTTATATTCAATTGTTCTTCCACGGGCGCAAGAATGAGGTATTGTCCCAACTATGCGCTTAGAGCGCTTTGAAAAGGAACAACAGTAGTACGATTTTTCACAATTGTTTCCTTCAACAGCGGTACTCAGAATAGCGATCAGCAGAAAGAACTTTGGACAGAAGTTATATCAGGTTACTCTAATGATGCTGATATGCGTTGGAGTCCAGAACAAATCAGAGAGTTGCACATCGACCTCCGTTCAAGTGTGATGTATGCAGCAAATACTTCTCTCATTCAAGCGATCTGCTAGTACACAAACGTATTCACACCGGGGAGAAGCCTTTCGCGTGCACGGTTTGTAAAGCATCGGTCAGGACATCATCAAACCTTCGCAAGTATGAACGTATTCACAATGGGGAGAAGCCTTGCAAGTGCAAGGTATGTGGAGCCTCCTTCATGCGGTTATCAACTCTACAGGTTGTATCCAACGGTTCTTCCACGTGCGCAAGCGTGCGCAAGCATGAGGTATTTTCCCAACTATGCGCTTAGAGTCCATTGAAAAGGAACAAAAGACATTATTTTGTTTACATTTGTTTTGTTCCACTGCGGTACTCCGATTAGCGATCAGCAGAAGGAATTTTGGACAAGAGTGATAGCTTTCAAGTGCTCTTGTCTGTGTGATCTCGATTTGGTAACATCTTCATCAAGAATTAGGACAAGGGCATTGATAACAAGGCTCTGTTTGACACATTTAATGTTTTTGGAGTAATTATGTCATGCAAGGTAGCTACTGACGATACGGGCCAGTCCAAGGGATACTGCTTTGTCATTTTAAGACTGATGAAGCTGCCCAACAAGCTATTGACAAAGTCAATGGGATGCTGCTGAATGACCGCAAGGTGTTTGGCAAAGGTGACCTGTCCCAAGCTTCTTTCATCTTCCATGTTATTTAAGTTTGTAAAGCAACGTTCAGGACAACATCAAATCTGCGTAAGCATGAACATATTCACACTGGGGAGAGGCCTTACAGGTGCGAAGTATGTTGAGCCACCTTAAAGCGGTTATCAACTCTACAGGTTATATTCAATTGTTCTTCCACGGGCGCAAGAATGAGGTATTGTCCCAACTATGCGCTTAGAGCGCTTTAAAAAGGAACAACAGCAGTACGATTATTCACAATTGTTTCCTTCCGCAGCGGTACTCAGAATAGCGATCAGCAGAAAGAACTTTGGACAGAAGTTATACCAGGTTACTCTGATGATGCTGATATGCGTTGGAGTCCAGAACAAATCAGAGAGTTGCACATCGACCTCCGTTCAAGTGTGATGTATGCAGCAAATACTTCTCTCATTCAAGCGATCTGCTAGTACACAAACGTATTCACACCGGGGAGAAGCCTTCCGCGTGCACGGTTTGTAAAGCAACGTTCAGGACATGATCAAACCTTCGCAAGCATGAACGTATTCACAATGGGGAGAAGCCTTACAAGTGCAAGGTATGTGGAGCCTCCTTCAAGCGGTTATCAACTCTACAGGTTTTATCCAACGGTTCTTCCACGTGCGAAAGCGTGCGCAAGCATGAGGTATTTTCCCAACTATGCGTTTAGAGTCCATTGAAAAGGAACAAAAGACATTATTTTGTTTACATTTGTTTTGTTCCACTGCGGTACTCAGATTAGCGATCAGCAGAAGGAATTTTGGACAAGAGTGATAGCTTTCAAGTGCTCTGGTCTGTGTGATCTCGATTTGGTAACATCTTCATCAAGAATTAGGACAAGGGCATTGATAACAAGGCTCTGTTTGACACATTTAATGTTTTTGGAGTAATTATGTCATGCAAGGTAGCTACTGACGTTAAGGGCCAGTCCAAGGGACACTGCTTTGTCATTTTAAGACTGATGAAGCTGCCCAACAAGCTATTGACAAAGTCAATGGGATGCTGCTGAATGACCGCAAGGTGTTTGGCAAAGGTGACCTGTCCCAAGCTTCTTTCATCTTCCATGTTATTTAAGTTTGTAAAGCAACGTTCAGGACAACATCAAATCTGCCTAAGCATGAACATATTCACACTGGGGAGAGGCCTTACAGGTGCGAAGTATGTGGAGCCACCTTAAAGCGGTTATCAACTCTACAGGTTATATTCAATTGTTCTTCCACGGGCGCAAGAATGAGGTATTGTCCCAACTATGCGCTTAGAGCGCTTTGAAAAGGAACAACAGTAGTACGATTTTTCACAATTGTTTCCTTCAACAGCGGTACTCAGAATAGCGATCAGCAGAAAGAACTTTGGACAGAAGTTATATCAGGTTACTCTAATGATGCTGATATGCGTTGGAGTCCAGAACAAATCAGAGAGTTGCACATCGACCTCCGTTCAAGTGTGATGTATGCAGCAAATACTTCTCTCATTCAAGCGATCTGCTAGTATAGAAACGTATTCACACCGGGGAGAAGCCTTTCGCGTGGAAAGTTTGTAAATCAACGTTCAGGACATCAAATTATACGTAAGCATGAACGCATTCGCTGTGGGGAGAGGCCTTACAAGAGCGAGGTATGTGGAGCTTCCTTCAAGCGGTTATCAACGTACAGGTTATATCCAATGGTTTTTCCACGTTCGCAATCATGAGGTATTGTCCCAACTATGCGCGGAGAGTCCTTTGAAAAGGAAGAATATACCGCTGAACTCGACTGATAGATGCCATGCTTGTAGAGGTGGCAGATTGCAGGATGGGAAAAGAAGGGAATTGGAGAAGATGAGCAAGGGTGCTCATCTGCCCTTGCTCACTCTTCCGAATTTTCACAGCCTTTTCCTCACGATTCGACTACAGCAGACAGGTGTCACAGCGGTTCGTAGTGCCAAGGATCTGGAAAGGTGGATGTACCTGATTATGAACAATAATTATCATGTTTTATTACACGACCGTCCACGGCAACAATCAAGTATGCCCGGTGCCAGATTGCAGGATGGGAAAAAAGGGATTGGAGACGATGAGCCAGGGTGCTCATCTGCCCATGCTCATTTTTCTCCAATTTTTCACAGCACTTTTCCTAAACCGATTCGACTACAGCAGACAGGTGTCACAGCGTTTCGTAATGCCAAGGACCTGGAACGGGTGATGTACCTGATTATGAACAATATTCAGCTGGTGTTTCCCTGTGTTGGATGGTGAGGTTAGTACATGTACTAGTGTTAGTAGTCATCCCTATAGGCCTAGCAAAGTCTCACAAATCTGCGTAAGCATGAACATATTCACACTGGGGAGAGGCCCTACAAGTGCAAGGTATGTGGATCCTCCTCAAAGCGGTTATCAACTCTAATATCCAACGGTTCTTTCACGTGCGCAAGAATGAGGTATTGTCCCAACTATGCGCTTAGAGTCCTTTGAAAAGGAACAAAAGCTATACTTTTGTTTACATATAATTATTTCCTTCAACAGCGGTACTCAGAATAGCGATCAGCAGAAAGAACTTTGGACAGAGGTTATATCAGGTTACTCTAATGATGCTGACATGCGGTGGAGTCCAGAACAAATCAGAGAGTTTCATATCGACCTCCACGGAGACGCACCTATCGCACCTTATACATGCAGTAGTTAACAGAACCAAGATACACATAGTCGTTCTGGAGAGATTGTGAAGCAGATCGCTTGAATGCGAGAAGTATTTGCTGCATACATCACACTTGAACGGAGGTCGATGTGCAACTCTCTGATTTGTTCAGGACAACATCAAATCTGCGTAAGCAAGAACATATTCACATTGGGGAGAGGCCTTACAGGTGCGAAGTATGTGGAGCCACCTTAAAGCGGTTATCAACTCTACAGGTTATATTCAATTGTTCTTCCACGGGCGCAAGAATGAGGTATTGTCCCAACTATGCGCTTAGAGCGCTTTAAAAAGGAACAACAGCAGTACGATTTTTCACAATTGTTTCCTTCAACAGCGGTACTCAGAATAGCGATCAGCAGAAAGAACTTTGGACAGAAGTTATATCAGGTTACTCTAATGATGCTGATATGCGTTGGAGTCCGGAAGAAATCAGAGAGTTGCACATCGACCTCCGTTCAAGTGTGATGTATGCAGCAAATACTTCTCTCATTCAAGCGATCTGCTAGTACAGAAACGTATTCACACCGGGGAGAAGCCTTTCGCCAGGAAAGTTTGTAAATCAACGTTCAGGACATCAAATTATACGTAAGCATGAACGCATTCGCTGTGGGGAGAGGCCTTACAAGAGCGAGGTATGTGGAGCTTCCTTCAAGCGGTTATCAACGTACAGGTTATATCCAATGGTTTTTCCACGTTCGCAATCATGAGGTATTGTCCCAACTATGCGCGGAGAGTCCTTTGAAAAGGAAGAATATATCGCTCAACTCGACTGATAGATGCCATGCTTGTAGAGGTGGCAGACTCTCACTGGCGTTTTGTTCGAAATATTAGCCTACTAGTGTAGGTTGTCTGCATGGAAGTGAAAATGCAGCTCTATCAACTGAAATACAGTATTTTGTATGGTAAGTCTTGTACTTACAATTTCGTGCTCCCGGTCCGAGGTTCCGAAATTCAGGCAGTTTCCACAAGCGACGATCTACAAGAGGGTAAAGACGAGAAATGAAGATCGTACATAAAACTAACCACAAGCAACAAAAAATGATCAATCGGCTGAAATAGTGCCTGATGGACGCAGGAGTGATGTGCAGCAAGCGCGTACCCTAAAGCTTTTGCCTACAGAGACTCCCCAAGACAGCAAAAGGCTACTTCCTCATGCTACGAGTCACAAGTTTGGTGACCTTCTTATGGTACACTGGAAGCTTCTTTCATCTTTCATGTTATTCTTACTCACGGTATACATTCTACCATGCGTAGTCGGCGTATACCGTATCTCTCATCTATTCAACCGTACCTGTGGTACTCAGGGAAATACTCGGCGCTACTCAACCCGTACCTGTGGTACTCAGGGAAATACTCGGCGCTACTCAACCCGTACCTGTGGTACTCAGGGAAATACTCGGCGCTACTCAACCCGTACTCATGTGATAGACTATTCTTCGGAACTTTCCCCGCACAGGTTAGCGACAAACACTCTGTTGGCAAAAAAGACCTTTGAATATCCTCAATACCCAAGATTGAGAAATGCGGAGCAGATGCCGCGTCTATTGGGTTTGTAGGCAATGTCCAGTACTTCTAGCGGACACTATCCCGTCTGGTCTGCTCAGGCTATTGCTAGCCTTGCGGAATGTCGCCACTCAGCATGGTGGTGCAGTAAGCAGGGTCACCTGAGACCCAGTGAATGCCTGTGCGACTGCGGACTTTCTCATCCCGGTGCGGGAACGCCTGAACATTGTGTCATATTGAAAGGTGACGTGCAAGGCTCTGTCGATGCAATGCAAGTGCCAATTGGCAAGTTTCAGGACGAGCGTGCCAAGCTCAGTGTTCACACCGGAATTGGCAATGTTACGCCAGGCGACATTCAAATGGCAAAACTCACAAAGGGTAAAATGTATTGCCTTCACACAGATTGCGATCGCAACAGCAAGGAAATGGCTGAGAAGGATAACGTGTCCGTCTTCGCCAGTCAAGTCAACTATAAGCTGATGGAAACCATGAAGGAGCTCATCGAGTCTATTGTCATGGCTCTGGTGCGCATCACGCGCGCGGAGCAGCTTGCTCTAGTGCCGCGCCTGCTCTGCTGTCTCGAAGGCAGACCCGTGGCGAAGCAGAGCACCCAACTACGTGTAATAACCCCGCTCCTTGGCTCTGTCGAGCTGCCAGAGTCCCAGGTGAACCGAGCGAGCTGGTTGATGCTGCGGCAAAAAAAGACGAGCTGTTGGCAGTCTCCTGCTGGAATTTCTGATCGACTTCCTGTGTTTGCCGTACAAGAAGCCCTTGTTCACTCCTACGCCTGAGCATGGTGAGAATCGAGTAGATCCGGTCGGCTTCCAGGGCCTCACTCATGCATCCTACCAGGGTGCATCAACCGACTTGACTGTGTCGAATGGCTATTTCGACAAGCTGGAGGAGATGAAGCTGGGTGCAGGGCGCTGGGCGCCTCCTTCACTCACCACAACCAACACTAGGCTCTACAGTGAATACAGACAGCTCTGCTATACTCATTGGGTTGAATTTCTCTTGTCACTGCTGTACACTGTTATCATTATAATTATAATAATTATGTCATCCAGGGAGTCATTATAGAATAATTATGGCAGCCAGGGAGTCATTATATAATAATTATATCAGCCAGGGAGTCATTATATAATAATTATGTCAGACAGGGAGTAGTAATATATTTTCGACTCCCTGATGGCTACCCACTTACTTTATTTTCACCAGAGAGTCGTGAAGCCCTTCCACTCACTATAACGCACAGAACTTGTATCTGGAATCATGTCTCTTTGTACGTTATGTCCGTGGAGTGGGCTACTCGGAGAATGGTGCCCTCCCTAGTGGCCACGTGCTGGTACTATGTGTGGCATCCCCCGTGACTCAGGCTACTTGAAGCTGCTGCGCCGACTACTGTTGGGACATCAGAATGGTGCTCTGAGACCTGCTCTCAGTAGGCCTTTTCGGGCCTACTTGTTTGTTGCCGTGGACAGTCGGGTCGTAATACAGGATACTGTTCATTATCAAGTAAATCCACCGTTCCAGGTCCCCGGCACTACGAACCGTTGTGACACCCGTTTTCCTAACTAACGCCCTGCAGTCACAGTGCAGTGGTAGTCCAGCAGAAGCACCAGCCAGCAGCAAGCCAGCCGCTGCGGGTTCCTGTGAGCCAAGTGAACTGTCTATTGCCATATCCAGTGTATCATCTGCTTCTTCTGGCATCAGCAAATCCACGAGTGCAATGTCATCACCAAGCAGTGATGTTAGTTCAAGTATCAGTAATAGCGGCGTTTCCCAAACATCTAGCGGACTCTCTCCCGTCTGGTCTGCTCAGGCTATTGCTAGCCTTACGGAATGTCGCCACTCAGCAAAATGGTGCAGTAAGCAGGGTCACCTGTGACCCAGTGAATGCCTGTGTGATTGCTGGGGGGGGGGGATTTGCTCCATGTGAGGGGGGCACTTACCAACTTAAGCAATCTTGCCCCGAGTTTCCAGGGCGTCCAGCCACTCAATTCAAGGACGTTTAAACACTCCCAGAGCCTGCACAATTCTGACTCTGCGCTGGATGTGGCCTACCTGCATACAATCTGTCGTTAGAAGAAGGCCTCTTCTCGCATGATCTTTGTCTGGTGTAATAGGATAGCCCCCGGTGAGTTCCTACTTTGGCGTAATGTTCCTAGGGGCCGTCAGCATGCCTACGTTAATTGTCTGTGGAGTATGGTTCTTTCGACTTCTTTCTGAGTCATTGCTGAGTTCTGTTCAGATAAGTAGCTGTGCTGAATGCACCCAAACACACCTTCTGATGGTGCAGTACCGGTAGTTTTTACGCTATCAAACTCTGGGTTTACCCCCTCTCCTTGTCCTGGTGTGACGCACTGGCGTTCTGCCTTTCCTCCCTGTGACGGGCATGCTTTTTTGGCCCGCTCCACGCGCCTCCCTCCTTCATATTGGCCTGTATTCCCTGGGCCACGAGAAGGTGAAATAAATAAATTGATTCAGTGTCACTGTTCACTTCTGAGCACATGCTTGGGTATTACATGTACATGCACCTCACTTTCCAAGTAATTCTCATCATTTTGTTTTACAACCGTCGTTTCCCTTCAGACAGGACCCTCATTTACTGCTATTGTTTGCTTTTTCTGCCTTTCGCGCTCTCTCTCTCTCTCTCTCTCTCTCTCTCTCTCTCTCTCTCTCTCTTTCCCCCCCCCCCTCTCTATCTTCAAGTGTGATGTATGCAGCAAGTACTTCTCTCATTCAAGCGATCTGCTAGTACACAAACGTATTCACACCGGGGAGAAGCCTTTCGCGTGCAAGGTTTGTAAAGCAAATCTGCGTAAGCACGAACGTATTCACCTTCCGCGGTCAGTCATACCGTCACATATGGGCTCAACGTCACCACCTCTAATAGCAAGCAAAGCATCTCTCAGGCCTTCTTCATCAAGTACCGGATAGAGTACAATTGGCGGCGTGCAGACCTGCGACCCAAAAAAGTACTCAAGGGACACGACGATCATGTGGTGAGCAGGATGCAGACATAGCATATGAAAAGACCAGTCAGTCCAGTTCGCTAGTGGCCATGTGCTGGTACTATGTGTGGCATCCCCCGTGACACGTGCTATTTGAAGCTGCTGCGCCGACTATTGTTGGGCCATCCCAATCGTGCTCTGAGACCTGCTCTCAGTAGTCTTTTTCGGGCCTACGTGATTGTTGCTGTGTACGGTCGGGTCGTAATACAGGATATTGTTCATTATCAAGTAAATCCAACGTTTCAGGCCCCGGGCACTACGAACCGTTGTGACACCCATTTTCCTTGTTTCCAGCATGGCAGGAGCTGTTTTTCCGCCAGTGATCCAAAGCGACAAGCACTCTGTTGGCAAAAAAGACCTTTGAATCTCCTAAATACCCAATATGAAGGAATACGGAGCAGATGCTAAGTTCACGTCTTGTTTAATGGTGAGTTAGTTCTCCCCGTGTTGTTGCAGATTCCACTTCAATAAATTGTTCCTCACCACCCACGACGAAGAGTGCATACCGTACATCACGTATTCGTAAAATCTAGGCATCATCGCCTGGTGCAAACATTGGCGTGGATAGTTGCCTGATCGTGGGCTGGAACAATGCCTAAAGGAATGAACAAGAAAG